TTTGCAGTAACGTGAGGACGTGAAACGTCATCAAAAGTAGGATAAACTATTCAATTTAAATTTGTGACTTCGTTCACACAGACCCTGCGGGGAGTGGACTGTAACTTACAGAGAACCTAATAATTTGGTAGTATTTGCGGAGAGAAAATTGAAATTTGATTCCACTTATACAGTGAAGATTAAGGAGTTTTGTTTTCATATATTTTGGAGAAGTTTAACTTAATAGTTTGCAGAAGGTTGTGAATCTTGGGTAGATTCAACCGTTCGTAATAGTGTTATATTTATTTTTGTTGGATATTTCACCAGTGTAATTAATCCCGTATTCATTCGTACTTTGGATGTAATTGTCCAACACAGCTGGGATATTTTCTGTTTATATATTTGATTGCAATTTACAAGTGGTGCATTTGAGAGTAATTAACTCAAGCTTGAGGTATTGTTGTAAGTAGGAGTGATTTTTAAATTAATAAATTAATTCGGAGCACAGAATAATTTGTGGACATTGTTTTATTTACCATTGTCTTTGAACATTTTAAGAGGAAGGTTAACTGGATCTGACAACACCAAAAAATTCAAATACATGTGATTTAAACAAATTTGGCATCAAATGAAAGCTAAAAGTCTATATTTTCAAGATTTGAAGTCGGAATTTTATTTTTTATACATTTCAGTACCAAAAAATAGGATTATGTAATAATCCTGTTTTAATCCTAAAAATGTGATTAATAGTGATATGAAAGTATTCTACCAAAACACACACAAAAATATGTACTAATGCCATCCGTTTCTGTCATGAGTAAGTATTGGTCTTGAAAAACCGACTAAAACTTGTTTTTAACATTTTGCGTAATTTGCTTCGCTTCAGTGACTTCTAATATTTCAGCCTTCGAAAATGTCCTTCCGTTACCGAAAATATACATATTTTTAATTTATTTTTAAAACTTGCAGTATGAATGCATTGAAAGTTATTGTGCAAAGCAAGTTTAGGTAGGCCTTCAATATGACATTATAACTGACACTGCTTTTCTTCTCGTTTTTTAATTACAATTAATTAAATCACGTCCTTCCGTTACCAAATTGGTAACGGAAGGACGGTAACGGAAGGACAAATCGTATTTTTATCAAATGTTACGACATTTGCGCTCATGTTTGAAAAATGAAAATCACTGCAAATACATGCATGTATAATGAGCATTGAAAGGACATTCATGTGACCCACCTTCACAAAAGCGGGATAAGCAGGGCAAGGTGTTTGTTACAAAGGAAGGCACAGGCATGTACAACATGTACAAGTACATATATGCTGATGTACCAGTACTTGTACATGTATGGAGTTGTTGCAGAAAATCAAATCATAAAGTTGCTGCCATCAGCATTCATGGACAATAGAGAAAGATACGAATTCTGTGAAGCCATTCCAGAAGCAAATTAAGTCAAAAATGAGATGGCAGAAAGTACCGGTACTTTGGGGCACTTTCATTCAATTTACATGTGTAAGACATGTGAGGTGCAATCTTTGAAAATTATGCCCAAGTTAACAATTTCAGTTTGGATGTTTATAAATTAATTGTTACTACTCTAAATCATTGTAATTTGATTTCAAACATTGATTTTAGAGTTCAATTAAAAGCAACACCTAACTGAAGCCATCAGTACTACCGGTAGATGTTTTTACCTTAAATGTACATGTAGGCTGGTTGCCCCCCCCCCCACCCTTTAGGTAAACCACTGAACCTACCGGTATTATTATTAAAAGTTGTTGGTGAACATGTAACCAATATACTCAAGAGTTCAAATACTGTGTATTTAAACTTTTAAGGATTGAGGTGATGGGTTTGAAGTCTATTTCTGTAGTTGTCTTGTGTTCGTGAATTATGTGTTTTGGGTTGTTTTCGTTTTTCTTTTGTTATCATTAATTAGCAGGCTTCTATCTTTATCTCAATAGTTTCTTGGGTATAATTATTTATGCCAGGTCTGCATATTGTTGATTTCACATTCAGTTACACATTTCAGCAATTTGTTTCACTTGTATTTAGTGTAAATTCACATTTTGTTCATGCTGTAATTGAGTAAACCTTTTGTCCTTCCGTTACCGTCCTTCCGTTACCAAATCATAATCTGCTTAAAACGTTGTAATTATAGTACCGAAACACTTCAAGTCAAATGAAAGGCGGTATAGTATAGATAAAGCTTCAGGGATTCCATTTCTTACCTTTAAAATATAATTGCCCAATAAAATTCACAGAGTTTACGCAAAACGCGAGTAAGTTGAAAAACCCTTGTCCGTTTTACCGTCCTTCCGTTACCGACCTCATTAATATTCATAATTCAAAAACGGGAGGCATTCTTCCCCCTCAAAAGTGTGGAAAATGAAAGTAGCATTCTAGCAATACAATTGTGACATTTGTTTGCTGTAACTATGAACAGTGTCTGTGATACACACATTTGAAATTTTATTTAATGAGTGAAAACGTCCTTCCGTTACCGTGGAATTGCCCACTAATAATAATAATTTGGGAGGCTAATCATCCTTACTTGCAGCTGGTATGCTGAATTGCGAAGGACGCGGCTACAACGTGGTCGGGCCGCTGGAACGTAAAGGCGCCTATGGCTGCCGGCCAAATCGACCCATATATGACCACGGAGCACAGCCTGAGATCAAAAGTGTTTCATTTTTCCGGCGAGAGGAAAACCGGAGGGCCCGGAGAAAAACCCTCATGGCACAGGAGAGAACCAACGCACAACTCTACTCACATGCGATCCGCGGCCGGGATTCGAACCGTGGTGAGAGGCGAGCGCTTTACGCACAAGCCACCCATGCCACCCAAAATTCTAAAGTGGTTTTTAAGTATATTTTTTTATTACAGATTTCAAAAGAGCACAATCTCAGCATTGCATGCTGATACCATCTTTAGTTCAAAAATTATGGAAGTCGGAAATCCAGGAGATGCGATGAAGTGATGTTATGAAGTGGCCCTATTTTGGCCTGCATCTCCACATAAAAATTCCTGACAAACGACTCATTTAGCTTGATCGCATCTCATGCATTTGGGTATTCCCCAGTGTGCATTCTTCCTTTGCATCTTATAGTGGAGGATATACACGTACACATGCATTCTTTAAAAAAAACCACAAAAAGCCAAAAAAAATCCATTCAAAAGTATATTTCTGCTCATATATTATAATTTTAGGAAGACTAGTCAGGTAAAAATTTGTAAATTCGACGAGCAAAGAGTTTCCTTTTAAATTTTATGAAGTGAAGTTTTGATATTTCACTTAAAGAGTCCAAACACAGGGATGAGATTGAGGAAGAATAAAAAATCCAAGAAAAATATTTGGTGAATCCAAACAGCAAGACAGGGTCTATAAGGTGCATGTATTTAAAATGTAACTGACCGACAAAAATGCCCACTGCCATCGTTTCATAAAAACTTAGTTTCCTGATTTTTAGATTTTATAACCTTCATTTTCATTCTTTTTTTGTGGGAGGGGGGGGGGTTTGAATAGTTTAACTATTCAGTCCTTCTGATTTGAAAATCACAGGTGTGTGGAAAAACGCACACCTGGATTTTTCTAGGCGTGTGATTTTTCTAGGCATGTGATCTTTCTAGGTGTGTGATTCTGTGGTCCAAGCTGGGACTGAACAATCTGGTATTTTTTTTCATAATATTCATCTTGGTTTTTCACAAATTATGAAGGGTAATTATGCTGTAAATGTATGCCAAGGTGTGGGGTACTGAGGGATTCAGGCGTGCGATTATTTGCACTTCTCAGGAAGCATTTAGGCGTGTGATGGCGTGGGGGTGCGATCGCACGCCTCAAAACAGGTCTGACTATTCATCCAAAAGAAAATGAAAATTTTTTTTTTATGAAACTGAAGGTTATAAAATCCAAAAATAAGGAAACGTCTACACAAACATGACCTCTGCAAACATGTTTTCACTGTTGCACATCATCTATCACAAATCAGAAACAAACTTTTTATTTCAATCCGAATATTGGAATCAGAAGTGTACAGAACCTGTTATCATCAGAACGGCTCTGTAGATGCATTTGCATATTTATTTTCCATCATGAAAAACACCCTTCAAGATACACGCTAAAATATAGTCCAGTAGATAATTAACTTTTTTGTTAATTTTCAACACGGTGGACAGGGCTCCAAATGAAAACACCTGTACACTTATATTATAACTGCTTTAAGCACAAGGATAAGGTTGATATCATAATGAAAGAGGATTTAAAAAATTGCCTCCACTTTGAAACAGGTTTAAAACTGTTTGCATGGACAAAAAATGTGAAAATTGATTGAGTTTGTAAAAAATTAACTTACATATCACCGACACACTAGCAGAAGTTACACAAAAAACTTTTTTTTTATTAAATTCCCCTTGAAAACAGCTTCCCAGCATTCAACAACGGATACAATTTATGCTCACTATCCATGCAAATGGAAAATGGAATTAAATAATAATCTTGCAATAACAGACAGTGCTTTTCCATAATGGTCTACCAGGTTTTCATTAGTTTTCCATTACGTTGATGTCAATTTTTATTAGCTCTGTGTTGGTTTGAATAATATCAGTTTGAATAATATCAGTACGTACGCGTTTCACACCTAACACGCAGCGAACTTGCAGACTATCAGCTGTCTCGAGCACGCAACATGCATGTGAGATGACGTCGTATCATGATTGTTGTGTTTACTGCTGTTTGTTTTCGTGATTTTTACATCAAAATCCAAAAAAATCCAAGACATAGGCCCCTAGGTATAATTAAATGACAGGAGGTGATTTCCAGAATATGAAATTCATTAGGTATGAGGACCGGACGTGCTTACATACATAATACATGTTACTGCAGTGCATACCATTGCGCAGCCTGCACTGAAATATTAATTAAGCGGTGGTGGACTCTGTTGCAGACGACTGCCAGGGGGAGTAAGATGGACAAATGCAATAGCCATTACAAAACCCAACATTGATGTTGAAGCTACCTACCTGACAGGCCATGGCCGTTACATCAGAGGGAGTGTCGGGGGAAAAGGCTGGCCGCAAAGCTGCCCCCACCTTTGAAGGAAATCAAAATCAATGTATAAATAGAAAGAACAATAAGCATAACAGATTAAGCATTAAGCAAATGTGTTCAGAGAAATTATTCGTAAGGCAAAAAAAAAAAAAGTACTCGGTCTCTGGTCAGCGCGCGCGTCGATTTTAATCATGCGCGTCAACCTTCTTTTTTTTTCAAATTAACACGGAAGCTACAACAGCGCTATTGCCGCGCCTCCTCAAATTTTTGTACCAAGGAGCACCAAGGAATGGGGAAATTGCACCAAGGCAAATGATAAAGGGCACCAAGGCAAATTATGGAGGACACCCATGTGTAATGAGGACACTAAAAAGCAAAATAGTACCCACCTTGTCTGTACAATACAAGCTTGAAAAAAAAAAAAAAAAAAAAAAAACGCGTCGCCGCATCAGTTCCGGAACTTCGGTCTGACCAGAGACCGACTATTTTTTTTTTTGGGCCTAAGCTTCAAGATCACTAAATGCATACAAAATGTAAATGGTCCCCAGTACGTTTTTAAGTTCAATTTCTCACAAATAGATCACAATTTTTTAAATTCTTTGAATTTGTTTTTTTTTTAGTGCTATCACTAGGATTTTCAGTGATAAAGGTCAACAATTGAGTTTTGACAGTCAGTCTAAGTATGTGTGGGAAATATTGCAACCTGTTACACATTGCGGTGAATGGAGAAAATTAAGATTAGTTGTTCTAGCACAGGCCTTTTAAGAGAAAGGCTTAATTTCTCCAAAGCTATTTTTGATTACTTGAAATAATAACAATGCAACTAATTAGCCATCAAAACGATCATAGAATAACCAAAACGATGGTTATTCGATGGAGTTTATGCACACAATACGTACGTCAATAGTTGGTGCAGCAGTTATCAATGACACATCGCCTCGTGATGCAACCCACGAAATGAAATAATCGTTCTTCATTGGGTAAGAATGCAAAATCAACCAAGCAGTAACTCAAGGTTACACATTGTAAACCTCGTAAAACCTGAACTTACCGCTTGATTAATTTCACATTCTCAACTTAGTACCAACCTCGGTTGGTACTATTCCGCGAGGTAAATTCCCAGGGTGACTTGAGGTAAAACCAGGGTACACCGTAAAAAAAACCTTGAGATAAACCTCAAGATACCACTTGTTTAATTGTCACATTCGCCCTTATCTTAGCATGATACAATTCCATAGGTAATCTTGCAGGGTAGCTTGAGGTAAAAACCTGGGGTATACCATGGACCCCATAAAACCTCGAGGTAAACGTCGAGATACCACTTGTTTTAACTGTCACATTCTCCCTTATCTCAGCTTGATACAATTCCATAGGTAATCTTTTAGGGTAAAGTTGAGGTAAAAACCTGGGGTATACCATGAACCCCATAAAACCTCGAGGTAAACCTCGAGATACCACTTGTTTTAATAGTCACATTCTCCCTTATCTCAGCTTGATACAATTCCATAGGTAATCTTTTAGGGTAAAGTTGAGGTAAAAACCTGGGGTATACCATGAACCCCATAAAACCTCGAGGTAAACCTTGAGTTACCACTTGTTTAACTGTCACATTCTCCCTTATCTCAGCTTGATACAATTCCATAGGTAATCTTTTAGGCTAACTTGAGGTAAAAACCTGGGGTATACCATGAACCCCATAAAACCTTGAGGTAAACCTTGAGTTAGCACTTGTTTAACTGTCACATTCTCCCCTTACCTCAGCTTGATACTGTTTCACAAGGTACACTTTCAGGGTTACTCGAGTAAAATCCCAGTCTATGGAATATCCCCTCACACAGTAAGGGTCTATACGTGAGCAGATTCTGTGATGAATTATGCAAAACAAGACTTGCGTTTTGACATCCAGATTGTGACCATTCTATCGGGGCTTTCGTAAACCGTTTTTACACCTAAACACGGCACCTAAACTAACCAATCAATGGCTTAGTCCACATTTCTGAATAAGATGACGTCACAATTTCTAAAGTCGACTGGCTGGCATGCGGGGTTGCATAAAATGTGCATGCTTTGATACATCAGACATTCATTCCTGTCGCTCTGCACACGTGAATGTCTGATCCTCAGACTAGTAAAAAAACTTCACAATACCTCAAGGTAAACCTTGAGCTACCGCTTGTTTAAAGGTATAGTCCATCATTTGTAACTTGTGCATTTTGTTCGTTTGAAGCAACAAACATCCAAAAAATCTGAAGAAGGGTGCTGAACAACTAACCTGATGGAGTTTCAGCTCAGCTTTAGCTGTATATTCCGAGAAAAACAGCATTCTAGGATCCGATTTCATATCAAAAGTTGCTGAATCATGTTTGGAATTGGGCCTGAATTCAGCATCAGAGACACGTTCTCACTGAGCCAAATGCAGCTACGCGATGTCACGCACTGATCCGACGAATTATAGTAACCGCGCACGCGTGTGTGTAGTGCCAACGCTTACACGCGCTTCGCCGAATAAAAAAAACGAACTACTAACGGAAATTTCCTTTGGAAAGGCCTTCTTTCGTTGATTTCTTCAAAATAACAGCTTGCCAGAAAGAATAATTTCACAGGGAGTTTAGTTCCCTTACTATCTTTCAACCAAGCACGTTTTTCAACAATAATTACGTCAGTTACTTTTTGGATAGCTGCAAATGATGGAATATAGCTTAATAATTGTCACATTCTCCCCTTACCTGGGCTTGGTACTGTTCCATGATGAAGTGTCCAGGGAACTCCGGTTCCGGCACCCGGGCAAACTTGTTGATAATGTCCTGAAGGAGCAGAAGGCCTGCATTCCTCAACTGGCTGCTCTCCGAGGTGGCAGCAATGAACGCCGTCCGGACCAGGTCTGACAGATGCAACACCAGGTAGTTGTCTGTGCATCAATCAAGAATACTGCCATTAAAATTTGACTCAAAAGGATTTGTGGGGTTACGACCGGTGTATCTGTGCCCTGCTGAAAAAAATCCATTTCTCCCTTTTTATAGAGTTTTAAAGAAAGTGTGGGGTTTTCCGTTTTTGTTTTGTTTTTGCTTTGAACCAAAATAGTCACTACACTCTGCACTGTGTTTGGTTTAAATACTGCATTTTTGTTAAAGGGAAAATACAACATTTGCAAACATCAAAAAATAAAACTACCAAATCATTTTGAAATACCTTGCTGGACTGTTAGTGAATGACAGTGTAAAGCATCCTGTAAAATCATGGCACCTGGTATACTGTCATTTTCAAGAAAAGTGGTATTTTTGTATCAATTTCCAATGCTGATCAGCCGATCAGCGTTGGAAAAAAAACTGGCTTTTTTTCAAATACTGGCCCCAGTTGACCATCGCACTTGTTTGCAATCGATTACACACCTATGAACGGGTACAAGCCAGCTAGACTGGTTCCTTGACCTTACAATTCCCCAATGTATGTAAACTGCTCTGTTTCTTCTTATATGGAGTCAGAGAACCAGACTACAGGAAAATGATCGTTTTTCTTGGTTTTTATAGTATTTTCAAACCCAAAACCTCAAAAAAGTCAGCGTAACTATATTTGCTATATATTTCCAACCCCCCAATTCCATCCATTTCTGAAAATTACAGCAAAAGCAAATGATGTATATTGCCTTTAATACTGCTTTTTTGTTAACGTTTAAGTTGGAGGGCTGATACACCTATTCTAGTAGGACCTTTCTAATAGACCAAATGCCTTTGAGAAAGGTAATTTTTCCCGTGAGAAAAGTACTGATAGATAAAAGATCAGGTCTACTGACTTCTATAATTTGTATATTTCAGGTCAATCCAGTCATTACCATGGTAACTAGTATCTTTCAGCTTCTTCTTTTTTTTCTTTTTTTTTAAAAATATGTATGAAGATTAATATTCATGTTACTCTCGATGAAATAAGGACCAGGATGATCCAAATTGAAAATATGAAGCTTCTCTGTCATTATATGGAAGCACAGAACTTTCTTTGAATATCATTTTGTTACTGCTCACTGACCCTGTGATGTCTTTGCCTTCATTTCTCGGGCCAGAGCAAGGTCAAAGTGCACCGTGTTGCCGTCACACACTTGGATGACTCGCCGTACGCTGTCAGCTGCAAAGACTCGTGTGGGCCACCGTGGTGCCACTGAAGAGAAAAGATGCGACAAAAGACGTGTCTAGTTATCTATCTTTAATTTATGATGACTTTGTGCAAGGAAGTTATGGAACATACAGTGGCGGCGCCAGACTCTGAAATTTGGGGGGCCAGGAAATATTTTTTTGGGGGGCAGTCAAAATAATATCGAATGATATCCAAAATCTAAGGGGAAAGTAAGCAAGAGCCCAATAACTAAATGACAACTAAAAGCTTGTGTATGCGCATGTGCCCATTGACAATGGTCCTGGAATAAGCCACTCGAGAATCTTAGAAGTGTAGTCTTGTTAATTTTTTTTTACACAAGGCATATCTGGGCCTTTACAGCAAGACACATTATTGACTAATAGAGACTGCTGATGGCTTGTCGCCCAGATAGCGATTCACCTCCCTCTTGAAGCTGGCCAGATTCCTGTCAGTGGGTATGTGGGCAGGAAGAGAGTTCCATATTCGGGCCGTAGATGGTAAAAAGGACCTTAGATGACTGACCAGGTTTGATCTTGGTACCTCCACTGCCACGTTGTGTGGTCGGACAGACTGCCGTAGCCTTGGATCTGGAATATACCTGGTTGGCAGCAGCCATACAGGTATATTCCTAATGATCCTACATACCTTCAAACACTAGAAGCCAAGGGATGTTTTTTTAACCACTCCAATGGCAGAGTGCACAGCAACTGCCAAAGATTTATCTATAAGTATTTTCACCTGGAGGATGCGTGTTGACTTTCTCCCCTGTCTTAAACTTGGCCGAGTCATCAACCTCTTGATCTTCGTCTTTGTCATCCTTTTCCTCGGCACCTTTGCGATTGTGGTCTGGCTTGGGAGTACCGCCTCCACTCTCTAAAATAACAAATAAAAGAAATATAAGAATTAAGGAAACAAGCGCGAGTGTACAATAAGCTGTGGCCTGGTTTCAGAATGTTTCACTTCATATGCAAAATAGATGCGCATGCGCATCTATTGAGACAAAGGGTCGTGTTCCGCTTTCATTAACCCTAAAAGGGCCGGGAGGGGGGGGGGGCGGATTCCGCTTTTTCAACTTTTTCCGAGATAGCCTAAAAAATGTTCACGACCCGAGCTATTATGACTTTTCAGCCTCGAGCCTTGCGCATCTTTTGATACCAAAAACAGAAAAATTGGACCAGGGGTTGCCGCGTAGCGAAAAAGCTGAATTTTCCCATATACGTCCTGTACACAGAGCAGAATTACCATTCGTACATATGAATAATTAATGAGCCATAATTCCAAAACCCTTTGACCTAGAGTCATGAAATTTCTTGGGTATGTTCATGATGAGTTGCTCCTTTGCACGTACGGAGTTTTAAAAATTTTCGTCACTCGATGGCCCCCCCCCCCCCCTCCCCGGCAGAGAGATGGTCAAAATAACCCGGCCTTTTTAGGGTTAAGAGTGCATTTACTGATGACGGCATTGCATTTGGCAAATATTTGGTCAATTGGTAGTTATATTTTATGGGAAACTTAGGGGGCTCGTTTGGCACATTTAAATTAGGACTGCAGTCAATGTGGTTAACGCGAAAAAAATTTCATACGTGACGTGACGTGCAGGAGATAACGCAAGCGCATATACAGGGTGTTTCGAAAAAAAGGAAACCAAGCTTATTTTGTTGATTTCTCGGGTATGACTACTTATTTAGGAAAATGGCAACCACCATCTGTTACATAACCATGTCTTCTTTTTCTTGACGCCACGAACTCCATGTTACCTTCACGGATGACTGAGCACCAAGTGATGTAACTGACATGCCAGAAATGGCCTTGTACCACATGCACCATAAGACCAATTGACAGTTATCAGAGAGAGAGAGAGACGTTATCAGGAATGCATTCACAACAGATTTGCGTTCAAAGGAATGGGGCATGTTGAAGGACAATGGGGTTAACGGGGACAGTGATAAACCTTGATTTTTTGTAGCAATTGAATAAATGACTTTGATAATGTGCGTTCTGGATTTCTTTATTTTCAACATGCTGAAAACTGTCAATTGGTCTTGTGGTGCATGTGGTACAAGGCCATTTCTGGCATGTCAGTTACATCTCTTGTTGCTCAGTCATCCCGTTACAGTGAAACGGAATTCGTGGTGTCAAGAAAAAGAAGACATGGTTATGTAACAGATGGTGGTTACCATTTTCCTAACAAATTAGTCATACCCAAGAAATCAACAAAATAAGCTTGGTTTCCTTTTTTTTTAAACAGCCTGTATAGAGCGTGCAGTCTTCTAAATACACGCGCAGTACGCTCTGAATAGTCAATCAGCGTCGTGTACGTATTCCTCACAGCCAGAGGTTAGAGAATGAACGCACACGCCCCCATGGAGTCGAGGCTAGGGATTACCTTTGGAAGCCGACAGCACAGTCTTGCACAACGTCAGCCACCTTGCCAGGTCTTTCCCTGACAGCTCATGCAGCATACTGATCAAGGTGTCGTGGATGTCGGACAGGAGTCGCTGATCGGTTTCCTTGTCTAGCATACTGAAGAGAACCCCTTCCAGGCCAGTCTCTGAAGAAGTAGGAAAAGAGAGTTACGTCTCAGCTCCGAATACACACAATCTTCCCACTTTTTGTGTAAAATACAGACATGGGAGTAAGGTAGGTGTAGTGGTGTCTTACATGCCTTTGGCCATCTCGGTTAACATTCTAACTACACCACTGTTATGAGTGGATTTCAGTCTCTAGACAATCATGTGGGGATTTATTTGAAAAAAATAAAATAAAATAAATGCAAATGACACTTAGGAGATGGTATAAACAAAATCATCCTAATGTTACTTGAGGAGAAAACTTAAGCTGAGACACTGGTGTACCAATGTTCGTTTTTTTTAATTGCACCAAAGCATGATAGTAATTACTGATAAAGATGTTGTACAACTTAGTTCTAAAGCTGTACATGTAGAGTTCATTCCTAACATCCCTTAAAACACACCCACTGCTAGAAAGTTCCATTTTTAATTTTTGTTTTACCCTTCTTATAATGTATTTTCTTCAAGACTTTTTTGTTATGTTTATTTATATTTCAAACTAAACCAGCCTGTAAAAATGACTGGGTGCATGCAAAATAAATTATAAAGTTGAACGAAGAAACTAAACAAGCAGAATTAGAATGGTACCATTGCGGGTTCAAAACCCGCTCCGGTCAATAAGCCATTTGCGAGTAACCTATACCCTTTGGGATTTACATTTGAAAAACATCTGGCACACTGACTTGCTCAGAATGCTTAGCACATTTTAACTTTGAATTCTCCAGACCAAAGACACTGTTGCTAATCACATGATTCGGGGCAAGCTCTTGCATAGTTACGTAAGAGACGCTCAGCACCAATACATTGTTCACAATGGGTGAGAATGGCACAAAGACACCAGACCATGCCGGAGCTGGGGGTTGCTAGCATAAGCCTTGCCCCGAATCATGTGATATAGTAACAGTCTCTTTGGTCGGGAGAATGCAAACTTAAAACATGCAAAGCACTGGATTAAGTCAGTGTTCCAGATTTTATTCAAATTTAACTCGCAAATGGCTTATTACTTGGTTCCATGATACAATTAAACCCACCTGTGATAACCACACCGTCCGTGACAGCCGTGCTGACATCCCTGGGGTCCTTGGCTAAGCTCTTGGCGTATTCACACACCTCGTGGGCCTCACGCTGGGACAGCTGCCTCAGGCAGGCCACGGCAGCACGGCGTAGTAACAGATGCTGGCTACCAAGGGATTTCTGCACCGGAAAAGAGATTTTGTCCCCCAAATATTAGGTTGTAGTTGGTTATGTAAATCAGTTTGGTTTCTTTACACACAAAAATGAGGTAAAAACCCATTGCAGTATCAAGGCCGGTTCATACTTCACACAAGTTTCAGTGGGAAGCAAAGTCGTTAGGTTAACAGCAAAATGTCACAATGAAACTTCAATTGTTGACATAAAGGTGGTCATGTGAGCGGAGGGATTTAGACGCAATGCTGAATGAAGAGGTCGTGACGACCTCACAAGCTACGTCATGCTTAACAAAACAGACTCTGAAAGGAAACTATTATTCCTACAAATGTACCATTAGGGAGACACGTTATCGTAATTTCTTCGACAATAGGGAGACATTTTCATGTCTCCCTAATTCCACAGCCCCCCTTTAGAGGCAAAAATTTATTGTCGCAATCAGGTTATTTTTGTTGCTCGTGGTCTAATTAGTAAAAATACCGAAATTCGTGGAAAAAGGACAAGGGAATATTGGGTTAGGGCACATTTCAGTTTGAAAAATGTTGTGCACAAGTCTATGGGAATGACTCCCAAATGACCCATTCCCGGTAATTATTATTTCTATATCATGAAATGCGTTTGGCGCTCCTTTTCACATAAGTATAAACCAGCCTTTACATTTATATCAATCCATTCAATTCATAAAATCTGTTTAGCCCAGGGGCACTCACTTCACCTTTTATCACTTGCTTTTATTTTTAGTCAATTTGTTAAAACTGCAGTCACCATTGTTATTTTTTATTGAGTTTTCACTTGCCTGGATGGTTTAGCAGTGTCAGGTCAAAATGGGAAATGTAATACGAAATTTGACTTTCTAGTACTATCAAAGATTTTATTGACTTCTTTCAGGTTTGGACAGTGGCACTTTCCTTGCCTTCTACGTCTACCCAAACTGCTTTTTCTTCAGCATTTCTTACCATTAGAGGCAATGGACACCATTTGCAAACATTCAATAATAAAACTCTTAAAATATCTTGAATACAGGGCGAGTCCAAAAAAGCAAAACCCAAACCCAAAAAATTATATTTCATATTTAAAACAAGATGTAGCAACAAAAATAATAATGACTGGAAAGACAATTTCGTAAGCTACTTTTAGATGAAAAAATTAATGAAATTGCTTAATCTGTTCAAAGAATATCACCATTTAAAACCTCTTTCATCCAAAAAGGCAATTTCGGGAATCGTCGTCACAATTGTCTTCAAACATCACCACCGATAAAACCTCAGTTTAAAATTAAGTCCTTTTGAAGGCCCGTCTTAACAAAAAATTGGATTTTATAAATCATATTGCTTGCCTTACCAGGGTTGTTAATAAAGATATTGTGTACTACAGTTGTTGACAGTTGTTGAAACAAGTATTCTGTGTCATTTTCTTTGTTGTTCCAAACAGTCAGAATGCACAATAAATTGCTTTTTTTTGACGAAACAGGTTTTAGGGTCATTGCGTTTAAATAGTGATATTCTCTGAACGGATTGAGCAATTTCAGTTTTTTCTTCATCTAAAAGTACATATGAAATTGGCTTTCCAGTCATTATTATATTTGGTGCTACATATTTTTAAAATATGAAATATAATTTTGGGGGTTTGGGTTCTGCTTTTTTTTACTTACCCTGTATTCTACTTTCTAAGTATATAATAGTTGTAAATTACATGATGTTTGTAAGTAAATAATAGGATTCAGCATCCTGTGAAAATATTGTGCCTGGTGGGCTGTCAGTTTTGAGAAAAGTGGAATTACCATCATTTCATCGCAATGGTTGGTACTGAACCATCAAACTTTCAATAGAAACATGGTTTTTGTCGAGGAAAAATATGATTTTCACAAGTTTTCGCAAAAAGAATATAATCTACTGCGCTGAAATTTTGACAGGTTAGTTTTTCAATAACCAGCTTTTGATTTATTGTATTGTTGTTCCTTGAATCGGCATAAACACGGTTTTGCAAATGGTGTACAGAGCTTTTATCAAAGGTTTTAACCCCCCCACAATTAAAAAAATTCAAACAAATCTGAATTTTGAGCGCTCAAAACCTGTAATATTTTATATGATGACCAAATTTTCAGCAAAGGTGAAAAATCTTTTTGTTAATAATAATAATACCACAGTCTTATATAGCGTATGTATCTACCAACAATTAGGTACTCAAGGTGCTGGTAATTATGTCTAATTTTTTAAAGACAGGCAAATGAAGTTTATGAGAAATATGAGACTCATTATGTAGCACCTCTTATAAAGGGTTTACAAGGTGCTGTGGCGCATATTGCAGCCACTGCCAGAAACATCGGGGCAAACCTCTTTTCTTATAGCGATAAGTGATAAGTGGTTCTTTAACGTTAGTTACACAACACACAGAACCTATGGCTTAATGTCCCATCCCAAGGATGAAGCAATAAAGGTAAAGAGCCTTGCTCAAGAACACCAGCACCATGTTCCCTGTCAGGATTTGAACCTGTGCACCATGGCACTTGAGTCGAACACCATAATAATTGGACCACAGTCCCGCACATACATGTTTGTAATGCTAAGAATCTTTACTAAACTTCATAAAATTAGTCACAAGATAGAGAGACCTGGTTCACAGACATGGTACTTACGCAAAGGTGAGGAACCAAGCTGGTAAGGTTGACGTGCCTCGGAGCGAACATGTGCAGCTGCTGTAAGCAGGCGATGGCCTCGGAACCAACCAAGGAGTCTGGGTGATCCTGCATGATGGTGCAGGCTACCAGGCAGGATGTCCGCGCTGTGGCTAGGTTACCCTTGTTACCTGCAGCAAGACATGGTTTTCAATTTCTCACAGTCAGACGCTAGCAGGGATGGTACTGGATCGGTTTTATCAACTTAGTGGAATTTATTTGGTTTTTTTTAACCAGTTCACGTTGGATGACGTGTATTTGCAGTATTCGAAACGACAAAGGTTTTCACAAAGGTTTGCAGTATTCGAAACGGAGGACGGAAAAACTTGTTGCCGGAAAATATCTGTCTGCGACCTGCTCGCAGCGAGCAAGGCCGGAAATATTAAGATGTGCTACCCGCAGATGACGGCCTGAACTCGTCTTGCATCAAGGTTCGTGAAAAACAATCCTGCGCCTGGGTCCGGTCAATGTCAAAAAAATCCCGGTGCAAAGTGGTTAAAAGCCCTTTTGTTATCGTTGCCGATAAATTGTCTTTATTGTTACGCAAGTCAACGCAATAAAAAAACCTGTGTCACGCACTGGCTGGCTGTTGTATTACAAAACACTGCTTTCGAATTGACCAATCAAACCATTTAGTCCTGATTTGGGAATGAAATGACGTCAGTAAAGTCGACTCCGATTGGCTGGCGCGCAGCTTGCATATATCTGCATGTCTAGACATATCAGACGTTATACAGGAGACTTGGCTCCATGGATAACAGGTGATACTCAGACTACTCACTCAGGGCTCTCAAAAGTGGTCATAACGCCCCATCTTCTGTTCACGCACAAAGTTCATATCACCACTCACCTTGTAGTTCAGGTCCCAGTGTTGTGATCAGGGCAGCTAGGCATCGACCCAGACACTGATGGACCTCCACGTTGGAGGGAGGTACACTAAGAAGCAAGGTCAGGACGAGAGACAAGGTGGGCTCCACGTAGGAGCGGAACATGGGACCACCCGAATCCGCTATCAGGGCTAGTGCATGCAATGCCCACATCTGAAAAGTAAACCAACGAGGAATAATTCAGGGCTAGGATCCGTGTGCATTTAGCTGGGTTAGTAAGGTTTCTACAGGCTTCCGAGTTACTCTGACGGTGCAGCAGTTTCATCAGAAATTTCACTCAGGATGGGAGAAACTTCACTCAGGATGGGAGAAACTTCACTCCGGATGGGAGAAAGGCAAGTTCAGGGTGAGAGAACTGCCTATACTGGAATGCGGCAACCAGAATCAGAAGCTTTTACTGTGGTGGTGTCATGCCAATGCGACTGCTGCACGCGTTGTTAAAGACGAGGCACACGTGCATTTTGGTATTCCCATTGGCCAAAGGAGCCCAGGGCCCAATTTCACGGCACTGGTAAGCACACAATTTTCTGCTAACAGAGCCTCCGTCTATTTCATGGAGACCGTAAGCATAAGCACAGCAAAAGGCATGCTTACCTCAGAGGAAAAATTTGCTTAACTTAGTGACGTAACAATAGAAATCTCCATGCAAGCGCGACCGTTAGCACACACACACCGTGAAATAGTGCTTGAGGTTAGTACATTTTTGTGCTATGCTAAACACAACTTTTCTGCTAACTGTTAAGCAGCGCCGTGAAATTGGGCCCTGGCGTGTGTGTACTACCTGAGCGCGACTCGCATGACCCTTGCGCCTCTGCAGAAAATGGCTGCCGTCGGATTTGTCTGTAAGAGTGGTAGAAGTTGAAATTTGGCACATACACTGTAGTTTTCCAGAGTTGTGCACCATTTTTCAGCATGGCGGGAATGTCATCCTTAGGTATGCCTTGTCAGACCACTGTGTCTATCTACTTCCGAGGAACCATTCATGAACAGGAAGAATTTAATAAAAAAAAGTTAAAAAGGTAACTCAGCACTTGCCTGTACTGTAGGGGAGGTTGAGTCCTGCGCCAGGGCAAGCAGGATACTGACGCTGGTGTTGAGGTGCTGGCCTGCCCCCATGCCACCCACGTACCTGTGAAGACATCCTAAGGCCAGGGAGTTGCCTGTGATAATGTGAGAAGCAAGTGTGGGTAAAATGAGGAAATGAGACGAGTGTTGATGAAGTCCTCAAAATCTTCATGTAACCCAACAGTTTTTATTAAAGAATTAATCACTAAAACTGTGCTCTATTGCTGATGAGGAGTAATTGTATTACTCCGAGACAAGTCCACCGTTAGGCGTTATGGAAGAAAATGTAATGTCCGGGACAGAGCAAATTAACCATGATATCTAATTAATGATTCAGAGAAATGATCCAAAACTCCTAGTCTGTGATCTCCCTGACCATTACCAGATGAAAAAGACATTACACGTTTGTTCACTGAGCTCTTGTGGGGGAGTGTGGCCTAGTGGTTAGGGTTTGTGACTCATGATCAGAAGGTCAGGGGTTCGAATGCAGCCGCTGGCCATATGTGATGCGATCAAGCTAAATGAGTCGTTTGTCGGGAACTTTCATTTGGAGATTCAGGCCATAGGGCCACTTCATCACATCACTACATCACATTTCATAGTGTTCCGACTTCCATAATGTTTGAACTAAAGATGGTATCAGCATGCGGTTTTCACAGCAGTAATGCTGAGATTGAGCTCTTTCCAAATTGTTAGCTTGCTTGCATCACATATGTCGTGTCCTTGGGCCAGCCACTTCACCCCCACTTGCCTCTCTCCACCCAGGAGTATAAATGGGTCCTGGCATAAGCCAGGGAGTAGCCTGCGATGGACTGGCATCCCGTCCAGGGGAAGTAGAAATATTCTCAGTTGTTTCATGCTACTGAAACCGGAGATAAACGCCGGTCTGATTGGCCACATTGGCTCCCGACAGACTTACCTTTTTACTTACATTGTACTTCACTGAGCTCTTGTAGAACCAACAAAAGTCTGATTTGTAACGTCTGTGACACTGGAATTGCCCTTTTCCATGCCCAATTCTTGATTCAGCTGGTCATACATTCTGATTTGCCTCAGCCTATTTCATAGATAAACCCACAGCACTATAAAGCAAATCAAAGACCATGCTGAACATCCAAAGGCAGAATGTGATTATTCCAATATTCAGTATATTGGGTACAGCCCTATTGACTGGTAATGTATACCAACCTGTTCTGGAGACAGCATCTCTTGCTGTCTTGAGTCTATCAAAGCACATCTGAGCAGTCTGCGCAATGAAGGAGTTGTCTCCTCCCATCTGGGCCATCCTCCCTAGGGCCTCGCCGGCAGCGCAGCGCAGGATGGGATTGGAATTGGTCAAGGCATTCTGAAACAAAAAACATGAATATTCATAGATATGTCAAGTACTGATATGCTAATCTCATCTGTGACATCCTCCCTTAAGCCTCGCCAGTAGCGCAGCGCAGGATTGGATCGGAATGGACCGATCCAGTAAGCACTGCCCCATGGTGTTCTGACCAATCACAGCCGTGATTTATGTCCGACGTGCGTGCACTAAAGTCCGACATGCGTGCACGCGCGTATGATGTGCGCGGAAGGAACATGCAGGGTGGCCTTAGAGAGGAGCACATGTTAACAAAAAATTGAATATTCATAGATATGTAAAGTACTGATATGCTAATCCCATCTGTGCCATCCTTATTAATGCCTCACCAGTGGCACAGCGAAGGATGGGATTGGAAATGGTTATGGCATTCTTGAACAAAAACATGAATATTCAAAGTATGTAAAGTACTGATATGCTAATCCCATCTGAGATATTCTCCTTAAGGCCTCACTAGCAGCGCAGGATGGGATTGGAATTGGTAAAGGCATTCCGTACATAGAATATGAATATTCATAGGCAAAAGCACTGATATGCTAATCCCATCAGTTGGAATTGCTCAAGGCATTCTAAAATGAATAAAGGAGTGTCCGTAATATGTATAAAAAAAAAATTGCTATGCTGCTGTTTTCATGGTCATTTTCATTGAATTGTCTATGACACAGCACGGGAAGATATCGGAACTAGTCAAACAAGACAGAAAAACTAAACATTGGTGGTAATGCAACCTCACTCGTCCTTTCATACGATACAAAATCACAAAACTAGACTTACAAGACTCCTTCGCCGAAGCTTAATAAATTAACAAAGAACAAACATTGTTTAGCAGAGACACAACAGTTGTGTAACAAACATCGTTCGGCCAAAAACTGATAACATGAATTTACATTAATCAAGGTATATGCAAGTTACAGTAATCCATGCAAAGTATTTTCATCTTGATGTCTTACCATGATCAGATTATTCGCTGCTGCTCTGACACCACTATGCTTAAGTCTGCGTTTGTTGTCTGCTAAGCCCTGGTAAAATAACAAGAAAATAACATTATTTAAAGAAACGATAGATCATTTGCTTTTTGTAATAACTTGGTAACAACTCTAATAACAATACTGTTACATTGAAAGTGTAGTTGATGGCACACCTTGAGAGCACTAAGAACAGCCGTGAAGACGTTGATCTGAACTGCTTGTTGTCTGGCCGACTTGGCTTGCCTGATACACTCCCCAAAATGCTCCAGTATTTTCAGGCGGTGTTTGTCGGCGACGTGGGGTATAACGGCACCAAAGAGAGAGACTGAGGCGTCAATGACGGCCACGCCTAGTGGAAGGGGTCCAGGAACGTCTTCACCCTGGAGAAAGAAGAAAAATATGAAGTTAAAAGTCTGATTTTGCTTACAGTACTTCATGTCAAACAAAAAGAGAACATTACAAGTCATTCAAACTACGCACTTCTCACGGGTTACACCTTTGAAAAGAGGCCGACGATTAACTTGCAAGACACGTCTTAAAGGCATATAGGATCATTTGCTTTTCATGCATTTTGTTCATTTCCAATAACTCCACCATTCAAAAATATCCACTCACCTGAAGATTCAGCTCAGTGGATATTACACTTTTTGAGAAAACAGTGAAAAACCATGCACAACCTTTTGATCCCGAAAAAAACAATCTCGTCCATAGCACTCCTTATTTCCAAAAATCGGTCAACTGACTGATCGTTGGAAATCAACCACATTTCTTGATTTTTTTCTACATGACAGCAAGGCAGATGGGATTTCAAGGGGGGTTTAGTACCAGTACGATCTTTAAAGGTAGAGTATATCATTAGTCATTTGTGCATTTGTTTAGATTGAAGCAACAAAAGTGCTCAAAATCTTAAGAAGGGTGCTTAACATGCAACCTGATGAAGTTTTAGCTCAATGAATGCTGTATAATCCGAGATAACAATATTCTAGGATCTCAATTTTAATTCATAAGTTCCAGAGACATGTTCTCATTCAGCCGATTGCAGCTACGCAATGTCACGTACTCAAGCAACGAATTATAGCAACCATGCCAATTCACAGCTTCGACGAATAAACAAACTACTAACGGAAATTTCCAAAAATGCATCTTCAGATGCACTTTGGAAATGACCTTCTTTAATTGTTTTCTTCAAAATGACAGCATGCCAGAAAGAATCATTTCACAGGGAGTTTAGTGCCATTACTATCTTTAAACCAAGTATGTTTTTCAACGTTAACTTTGTCAGTTACTTTTTTGGAGCTGCAAATGATGTTCTCTACCTTTAATCCAAGTAAGCTTGTTAAATAATAGTTGGGTAAGTTACTTTTGGGAAAAATGCAAATGATCCTATATGCCTTTAAAATAAAGTATGACTTTCTATTCATAAGATGGGATTTTTGCGTCGGGGTGATGCTAATCAAATTAGGTTTTGCCCTTCACCGACGTATGAACACTGTATACTCTGTGTGTTACCTCCCGAGTGAAAGTTGGAAAAAAATCCCATCTTATGAATAGTTAATGCGGTACCCGCTGCTATCTACATCAGATTCAAAGCAGCCACCCGATCCCATTAGCTCGGTGGTCGAGTGGTAAGACATCTGCACTGGAAAGCAGGAGGTCGTGGGTTCGAGTCCCACCTGAGTGATTTTTTCCAACTTCCACTCGGGAGGTAACACACCGAGTATACAGTGTTTATACGTCGGTGAAGGGCAAAACCTAATTTGATGAAAGTATGACTTGTTGCTCACTACCAGCAAAACCTAATTTGATGACAGTATGACTCGTTGCTCACTACCAGCAAAACCTAATTTGATGAGAGTATGACTTGTTGCTCACTACCAGCAAAACCTAATTTGATGAGAGTATGACTTGTTGCTCACTACCAACAAAACCTAATTTGATGAAAGTATGACTTGTTGCTCACTACCAGCAAAACCTAATTTGATGAAAGTATGACTTGTTGCTCACTACCAGCAAAACCTAATTTGATGAAAGTATGACTTGTTGCTCACTACCAACAAAACCTAATTTGATGACAGTATGACTTGTTGCTCACTACCAGCAAAACCTAATTTGATGAAAGTATGACTTGTTGCTCACTACCAGCAAAACCTAATTTGATGAAAGTATGACTTGTTGCTCACTACCAGCAAAACCTAATTTGATGAAAGTATGACTTGTTGTTCACTACCAGCGAAACCTAATTTGATGAAAGTATGACTTGTTGCTCACTACCAGCAAAACCTAATTTGATGAAAGTATGACTTGTTGCTTACTACCAGCAAAACCTAATTTGATGAGAGTTTGACTTGTTGCTCACCACCAGCAAAACCTAATTTGATGAGAGTATGACTTGTTGCTCACGATGAGAGTATGACTTGATGCTCACTACCAGCAAAACCTAATTTGATGAAAGTATGACTTGTTGCTCACTACCAGCGAAACCTAATTTGATGAAAGTATGACTTGTTGCTCACTACCAGCCAAACCTAATTTGATGACAGTATGACTTGTTGCTCACTACCAGCAAAACCTAATTTGATGAAAGTATGACTTGTTGCTCACTACCAGCCAAACCTAATATGATGAAAGTATGAGTTGTTGCTCACTACCAGCATACCTTGATTGCTTTCCAGTACAGTGACGACGGATCGTGCTCCAGGGCCCCAGACCCTGAGGCACTGTTGGGCTGCAGCTGTAGCTCCACCGACTTGTGGTCGGTCTCGGTGATCCAGCTCTGAAGGATGATGGAGTCGTTCTCGTGGCACAGCGAGCGCATCAGGGAGGTGGTGGTGTTGGCTGCGTTGTCCGTCAGCGTGAACTCGGCTACAAGCTCGCGCAGCAGGGCTGTGAAGCTACCTGATGATTGGGAAAATAAGTATTACCATCTTCCCATTGGCCTTTTTTGGGGGGGAGGTTAACTTCTGTCACTGGGCTGTGCATAGGAACGGGTACCCTAGTACCTGACCGCTGATGTCAGGAAGTGGTTCCAGACCATGGAATCAAGTACCCGTAATTAACTTTACATATTACATGAAGTAAGGGTTCTTGTCAATAAAAAGTCCGCTGACTGTCAGCGAATGTACGCTGAATTCTGGCGTTGCCAAGGGCCAGCAGTTTGTGAACTTTCGCGACCGATGTTTACTAATGCCTGGCCAACTTAATGACTCAGTCCCCGCTCGTGTGATATTGTTATTAATATAGAATAGAAATTAGAATAACAAAGGCCCATTGTTATACCATGCAAGACTCCAGGGCTCGCCGCTAACCTGTAACTAAGGACCAAATTTAGTCCGCGAGCTCAGCTGAGTCAGCGGACAATCATTATTGATAGGAACCCTAAATAAAAGATACCTTTTTGGGACTTGAGTTCTAGGGCTCGCATCAGAAGCTTGTGACACCATCACGGTGTCTTTATCAACTGGTTTGTTGAGGCCAGTCGATAAAGACAACAGCAACGCCAGATGATAAGGGCACCGTGATGGTGTCGCATGCTCCTGATGCGAGCCCTGCAACTCAAGTCCAAACAAATTATCTTTTATATTTACTTGATATAATAATGGGACAGGAAACAAACTTTCATGCTCAATATTACATGTACTTAGTAAGTTCTAAGAAAATGAAAAGAAAGGTTTGAATGTCATTTATGGGAAATTTTCAAAATGAAAACCAGGCTACATGGAAAAACAAAACAGATTCCCATTTATGATGCTCGCGAAAATGCAATTTACACTGTAAAACTAAAGAGCCACACACTTGTATTTTGCTGCACCGATGTGGTAGTATTATTGTGCTGACCTTTATGAACAGAAACTTCTGAGACTTCAATTTTGGGGTTGAGATTCTTTAACAGGTACCCAGGTACCAATGTTTTGTTTTTCAATCAGGTACTCGATTCACGCACTACCCGTTAATGCATACCAGTCATTACCGAAAAAATTACATTATTAAATCTAGTGCGAACAGCCGGGATATGAATTCATGTTAAACTACAGCGACCTTGCTGTAAACCTAGCTTTCTTGCCCCCAACATTTGTTTTCTAGGACCCTTCCTAGTTTCATATACATGTACTTCCATCTAAAGTGGCTGCACTTATTTCTGAAGTCATGTCTTAATTTAAAATTCAGACTCTATAGATGCCTCATATCCCTCAGGTCCAACAATTTCTCATTAAGACAGCTTCCCCCTCCCCCCCCCCCCCACCCAAGAAACGCACAAATTAAAAACAAAAAATTACAAATTCATTGAGAGGCTATTTTACTTTCATAGGATGTGGGAGGCAAAAGCCTCAACACTTCATACAGTCTGAGTCGAACCATAGCTGCACTGGCCTTGAGGTGGGCACCGCAAGACTTGATCACTGTGTGAATCCTGGTGACAAAAAAGCACGACAAAATCACTTCAATTTTAAGAGGATGTGGAATGCTCGAAGACATTTCCGTCATTTTTCGGGTATATGTAGCCTAAGGTGTGATGAAATAAAAACGACTATTGTGTCTGTCATGAAATGAGTACAAAAGGTACTTTTGAGAGCTGTTTTTCAGGTCCTGTTTGGACCCGAAAGTGCAATTTGTGTAAAAGTCGTCGTTGGGGGCAGCAAACAAAACATAGTAAATCATGACGTAATAAACAGGACTCCCGATGCAGTGTAGTATAAACGAGTCCTGTTTATAACATCACGATTTTTTTCATTTTACGAAGAACCCGACGACTGTTGATTTCAATTATGTGCTCGCCGACCAACAAATTACTCGATGAATTTCAGTTTTATAAACATATAAATGCACATTACAAAAGAATGGGACTTTGTCATTATGATATATATGGGTCTACAATAAAAAAATACAAAAAAACAAAACGACTTTCAGCATTCCACAACCTCTTTAAAGCAGTCAAGAGGATGTGATTTCAGGCTCAATTTGTTTGCTTGGCATGAAGAGTACAACTTTGGACAAGTTTGCGGATTTACAAAATGAAGTCAATACTTTCAACCCTAACCCGACCAAATGCAAGACAATGCAACATAGACATTAGAGAGGTTTTGCATCTGAACGGATACGTGTATGCATACGTTATCTGTTAACCGATATCGACCATTCACAGATACAAACACCCTGCTGAAGTCAAATTTCATGACTTTGCTTTCAATATTGTTATTTGCATAATATGAAAGCCCCTCCTTCCAAGAAAAAAACTAATGCTCAACTGACATGATACAAAATTCATGTACAAAGGGGCAATTCCACGGTTACTCACGTTACATTTTCGTAACGTGAGTAACCGATTTTATGCGTCTTGTTTATCATACACAACACATTTTTCTGGATGTCATCTTTGGTGCTTAGGTAGGTCTAGGTCTACTCTATCTACTATGGGGATCACAGTTATTAAACCTTTTCCGTAAGGTAATTACAGCCCAAGGAAACTCAAAAGTACATCAAAAATGTAACGTGAGTAACCGTGGAATTGCCCAAAAGCTTTTTCTTGATCCTAAAGCCATGTGGTGCAAGAAAATCATGTTATTTTGTAAAATGCATTTATATGTAGAAATAAGAACAAAGAAGACAACTTCTTCTTCAAAATACCGTTCTGTTCAATTTTTTAAAAAGAGTGCTGTCTAGATAACAAACGTCAAGTCAAGACAACAAATTCTCACAACAGTTTCTTTTTTCAGAACCAAGACTTCTTAACAGGGGAGACAGAGTTCCACAAGGGCCCACGTGTACTTACTCCGCAAGCATAGACATGGCACACTCCAAAGGTGTCATGCATCTCCTAATGACGTCGTCAGTCACTAAATCACGACAATGAGTAATGAAGCTCTGCATGGCTGCAATGAAACAAAAACAAAAACACAGAGGCAGGAGTGGGTGGTGTTTCCTTGGCACATTTTTTTTGGGCTACATGTAATTCCAATTGACTTATGACCTATTTCTGCCACTTTGTTTTGTTTTTTCAACGCTGTTTAGAAATATTTTTCAAGCAAGTAGAAAATCAAATCCTATAAAGGAAAACATGCTTGACTGCAACAATAAACTGCAAACTGGTAATAGTGTCTACTTCCTTCTTAATTTTGTACATAGGATTGACGACATGGAACATGTACGTTTAACCCATCACTCACTGTAGCGCCAAAAAGTGCCCAGCCTTTTACCCCTTGTAGCACCTGAAACCTCGCAAGCACAATATACTTCTATTGATTCATCAGCGAATAAACACACTGTAATACAGCTTGTAATGTGTTAAAGAAATATGTTGCCAGCCAGAAGAATTTGAGGTTCTTGATGTCTGGTTTTCACCAAATAGGCAATTTACCCAAACTTTAAAGCGTAATTTGCCCTAGATTTGAGATTGCACATGATGCAAAGCATCTCATATTAAACTTTTAGAGACATCATTTTGACCTTTTAAATTGTATACTTCCGCAAAAAACTGCATCACAAATGAGGAAATGTTGAATGCCTGGGCAAACCGATGATTGGCTCTTTAGGTGTTACAAGTGTTCCACATCTCTGGAAGAATTCTATGCATGGACATCACTAATTTTCCCTGCACTACCTATCAGCCATCAGAAAGCAATGACATGTCATAAAAAGTCAAAGTTAGCAAAGAAAATATTGAAGCATTTACTGAGGAAACACTAGGAATTTTTCAGACCAGACTCCTAGGGTTTGTGCACAGGGTGTCAAGTGATGTCCAGATATGGAACTCTTTCCCACCTCTCAATTCCCATCACAGAGACCAGTAAGCGTTCATTCAGACTCTACCAACACCAAGAATTGTGTTTGCAGAGCAGACACAGGTAAGTTACAGAGGAATCCTACCACAAAGTGCTCCTGCTCGTCCTTCTAACGTGACCTGCCACGTGAACGCATCTCCCCTGGCCTTCTCAGACTCCAGCTCCTTGGACGATCTTGGGAATGCGTTACGCCAGAGCAGGAGCAGCCTGGGCAGGTGGTTCCGGACTACTGGAGTACCTACAATAAGAGGGGGGAAAAGGACCAATCATTAATCCTTATTACCAAATCACTGTGCAGGAAACCAATATCACATTCTTTGTACATGAACTTTGAAGTGGCATCAAGTTGTTATGGCTCGACTCTATGTTCTTCAATCTTGTGGAATCATTCAAATTGTCCTGGTGGATTCTGAGGCATCAGGGAGGTTCAGGGTTGATATCTTAAAGCCTCCGATCATGTTAGCCTTAAATCTGTCATGATACAATTGTGTTACGTGAGATTTGCAGCTGCAGCCTCTACCTAACCCTTAACCCTACTGCAAGTACTTTGCTAGATCCCTGCTGAAACCAACAAAATCATACACTGCTAATTACAACTCTGACCAGCAGAACATACATTTGTGAATTGCTTAAAGTTGGATATTGAACACTTTTGGTTTCAATGGGGCTACCAGCAGACTTTTTGAGGTTTCACGCAAAGGAATGAAAACAATGGCAACATGGTCAAGCTGGTCATGAAATTGCAAAGAAGCTTGTGCTAACCAGATATTGAGAAGATAAAATTGTTTCACTTGATTACAAACAGCTGATTATTAAAGGGAATATACAACATTTGCAAACATCGAAAAATAAAACTACCAAGTTTTTGCGAAATACCTTAATAGGATGTTGGTAAATGACAGTCTAAAGCATCCTGTAAAATTATGGCACCTGGTATACTGTCATTTTCAAGAAAAGTGGTATTTTTGTATCAATTTCCAACGCTGATCGGCCGATCAGCGTTGGAAACAACTGGCTTTTTTTTCAAATACTGGCCCCTATTGACCATTGCACTTGTTTGCAATCGATTACAAACCTATGAACGGGTACGAGCCAGCTAGACTGGTTCCCTGACCTTACAATTCCCCAATGTATGTAAACTGCTCTGTTTCTTCTTATATGGAGTCAGGGAACCAGACTACAGGAAAACGATTGTTTTTCTTGGTTTTTATAGCATTTTCGAACCCAAAACCTCAAAAAAGTCAGTGTAACTATATTTGCTTTATATTTCCAACCCCCCAATTCCATCCAATTCTGAAAATTACAGCAAAAGCAAATGATGTATATTCCCTTTAAATGAAGACTTTAACCAGTTCGAGCCAGGTTTACTTTGACAGTGACAAGACCCAGGCATGGGATTATTTTTCACGAAACTCGGTGCCAGATGGGTTCAGGTCATGATCTGCGGGTACACCCTGATTTTTCTGGCCTGCGAGCAGGTTGCTAACAGCCTCACTCGTTGCGCGTTTATCACTCATCTGATCTGAATTTCAGAAAACGTTTGCGCGTATACATGTCTTCCAGTGCCAACTGGTTTGGGGTGCTGTGGTCCAATGGTTACAGTGTTCGACCGGTGTGCTGTGGTACATGGGTTCGAATCCTGACCGTGGGAACATGGTAATTGTGCTCTTAAGCAAGGCACTTTACCATTATTGCTTCGTCCTTCGGATGGGACGTAAAGCCGTAGGTCTCGTGTGTTGTGTAATGCATGTTAAAGAACCCAGTAACACTTATCTCTAACAGAAGGGGTTTGCCCCGGTGTTTCTAGCAGTGGCTGCAATATGCGCCGCAGCACCTTGTAAACCCTTACAAAGTGCTACATAATGGGTCTCGTATTTCTCATAGACTTCATTTACCATGTTTACCTGTCTTTAGTAATAGACATAATTTCCAGCGCCTTGAGTACCTAATTGATGGTAGATATGTGCGCTTTATAAGACTCCAGTATTTTTATTATTATTAAATCCGATAACGCTCAGAGTCTGCAAATCCTACTACCAGTGCATCACAGTACAGTTTGTAAGCATGGATGAATTGCTCCCTCACCTAACGTCATGACAGCACCTAGTATAAGCCAGCTGGCCTGTGTTCTGTGCAGAGACATCCGGCTGTTCTGAGAGGCTGTTCTGAGTAAATCCTCGGCAATACTGAATATGACCTGTAAAAACAAAAACGGTAGATTAACAAAACTTTTAAAACATGTGCACAGCTTGAGTGACAATCCTCAGTCCTATTTACGATGATTCGTCCACATTTTTTGGACAATCCATCAGCATTTTTAACTGTGCTACTTGTCATTTTAACATCTCACTCACAGTCACTGTACCTTGTGGAGCCCATTATTACTTAAGTTATCAAGGTTGATACAAGACACTCACAACTTTATGTTAGAAGTAAATGAATTTCTATTTTACTCGTAACATAATTTTTAGAGTTGCTGAACGATTCCAAAGAAAGTCAGACAAAATAATTTTCATCGTGACGAGCCAAGGTGATCCAAAGACTGTTCCGTGAACGAACAAATTCACACAGAAAAGCAGTCGTAAATGTTGTTTTTTTCCTTGTCCAAGATGTTTACATACTTTATATCAATGCAAAGCTATGCCACAATTTGTGAAATCGATCTTAAGCTTACATGTAATTGCGCAGTTGCACAACAAATTTGTTGTGTATTTGAGTCCAACACATGGCGCAAGCTGCACACTTTTTTTGTAAAATCGTCCGCTGTACACTGTGCGTGTCAGCATTACACAAAGCACAGAGCATGAGCAATACACTACCTTACTCTCCACTGTCCACGACTCAAGTGATGCAGAACATCACATGCTACCGGTACCTCCCAGGTAAACATGCAAAAGCTGTACAAACACATGTCCGGGCCTTTGGGAACCAATCGCGTACGTGCATGCACACACTGAGCGCTAAGCTGCCCCCAGTCACGCACGCATGCACTACATGTACAGAGTACAGTTCATGACATTAAAATACAATCACATTGCAATAGCAATAGACTGGTTATATACATGTAAGTCACTACACATTCATTCAATAGACATAGGCATTAGTCATTGGTCTCCTACTCAAATTATACAAAGTTGGGATCACTGGTTCCGCTCCCACCACAGCCCGTCTTTCCAGTGCTGCTGCTTTCAGTTCGGTGGTGTCACACCCTGACCATTCTCGGATGTTGTCCACCCAGCGCATCTTTGGCCGGCCCACGGAGCGACGACATCCCTCTGGCATCCCATCCACAACAGCTGCCGCCATGCCACCATGCCAAACCACATGGCTCAACCACACTGCCTTGCGTTCCACTACAGTGCTGCTGCTGAAGCACCACAGGTCACTGATCATCTCCATCAGGATTTCATTTGTTACATGGTCTTGCCACTTGATGTTGAGTAGGTGACACAAAAATGGTTTGGCCGAAACTGTCTTGGCGTTTATGTCAGCTGCCTTCAACGAGAGGGTGGTAGCACCCATACACTTTCCATTACATAAATAGGCCCGAACATGCTAGGGTATGACCTCATACTCCATAACCATAATAAAAATAAAAGGAAAGTGACCTAAAGCTTACAGTAACTTCCTCTTTGTAATTCAATATAAAACATAAGGCTTAACATTTTCTAGTCACAAGATATTGTACTTGGTATCAGGGCACAAGAGCACCAAATTTCACCTAATTAAATATTCACAAGATTCCACCAGAGAAATACTTTACAGAGCCCGAATCAAACTTTGCTCATTAAATATTCACAGAACATGTACAGAAAATCGTCACTGCATTTTAAATAAATGTAGAGGAAGAATGGTTGGATAATTTGAAGACCTTTGTACACATATATTAACTGTTAAATTTAGGCCCTACATTGTACATTAACTGTTAAATTTGGCAAGTTACAAATTTACAAGATTTTGAAGATTATAAAAATGGAGGGATTTTGATTAAATGATTTTCCTGATCGACAACTGACATTTAATTTTTGTGAAAACCATAACTCAACATATGAAATGGTTAAATTGTTTAAAGCTCATCGCTCGCTGGTCTCCCATCAGACTCTCCTCATCCACCTGGGCTTAACCTGCTGAAAGTCCCCCTGTTCTGCTCCTCAGTGGTGACTCTGTTGCCATCCAGCCACATCTTGGTCGTGGTACCATCATGCATCAGGTCTCCGTCCTCGTCCTCTTCATGGATGGGGTCGACTCTTTTAGTTGTGTCGCTGTTGCCTTAAAGCTCTGGGCAGGTGCATCCCTTAGACGACCCGATTATCCCTCGCCTTGATTCAATTCAATTCAATTCAATTTTCACTTCAAAGACATTTATTTCCATTTCACCAATTCACAACAAGCAGAATAAACAAACTATTAAAACATTAGGTAAGTATGTAATAACAGAATAATAATGGTGAAAATGGAGGCAGGCCCCGGTAAGCATGTGCTTGTGTTGGGGAAGCCTTAGGACAAAGATTGGACAAAACAGTCAGACAGGACAAAGGAACAAAAATAAACACACAAACAAACAGATAATTATACATGGTTATGATGTAAATACAGTATTACGTAATAATGAAGTGTACGTAATAACAGCAACAAGCATAACAGCAATTATATATAAGAACGTCGATATTTCGGTACAAGACCCTATTTGCCGGTACAACCCTCTCAATGCCAAGCTTGTCACAGACACTCGACTACCACAGGATAATGACTAGCAGAACTCCAGAGCCCTAACTAAGGCCTAGCATCACCAGTGTTTATGTCATGCTTGACCACGTCCGTGTGACCGATGTCATGGTCACCCTTGGACAACACATCCTGAAAGTCTATAAGACATTTCCAGACATCATCATGGTACTTAGCCTCTGCATTGGCTGTACTCCTCTCATTTAAGTCTCGCAAATACAGGGGCAACTCCTTCCCTGTGTTTGCCTTCACATTCAATTCATCATGAATTGAACTGGGCTCAATCTGGGAGATCATTCCCGCTGTTGTCCCCTCATGTGCAACTCTTTATCCCTTCCGGGATTGAAGACCTGCAATAGAACAACATCGGCTTTAGTCTCAACAAGAGATCTGGCCACCGCCAAGCCTTCTTGGCTACACGTCACCACCACCTTCCACCGGTTTGACCATGGCTGGCCCGAGCAATGGTCTTGGCCTCCTCTTTGAGACTTTGCTCTAAATTCACAAGCCTCCGCTCTGTTCCAGAGACCTCGCCAATTTAGCGGGCTGCCGGTCCAGCAAACTGTGCTGTTCGACCTTCTCAAAATTCTCAGTCTCCAGCGCAGCCTGAACTTCTTCCAAAGTTTTTGGACGGGCTCTACTGATGTCCTCTCTAATTGAGTGGCTGTCAACGGCATCTATGAAGTGGTTCTTTGCCAACTTCTCTCGAGCATCTTCCGGTATTTCATGGATTGCCTGCCCTAACTCTAGCTATCCCTCTTTTGGCTTTTGGCGCCAGTGTCTGAGCTCAACGAGATACTTCTCACTCTGTCAAGCTGACCCAAGCCTACGCCCAAGCAACTTGACCAGCGCACTGTACATGTGCTTTTTACCCGAGTCGCCCATCAACCACAGAGCATCCCCTTGCAAGCTTGCGGATAACCACTTCGCAGCTTGCTCTTCGCTCCACTGGTTTACCTCAAGGCACGTCTCAAAATGGCAGAAGTACTCCTTCTAGAGCACTTTCCCATTATATCGGTCAGGGGTTATGTTTGGCCTGCGATTTGGTCGCTCCAAACTTCCCTTCAGACCCAATTCACTATGGACACATGCCTCTCGTTTAAGTGGCCGAGGACCTACTGACCTACAAGGTGTCCACTCTTTCAGCTGAACTGCTGTTCTTCGCCTCGACTGGTCGAGTTGCGAAACTTAGCAGTTAACTGTGCACCCTTGTAGGGGTAACCTTCTCCCTATCACAAACAAACAGGTTAGTACTTGGCTTACCCTGTTCCACGCCACCGTGCCCGGACAGGAACAGCATCAGGTTGTCTATGACTTGACTCTCGCATTCCAAGGCGATTGGCGTTGACCCAGCTTGGGGTTTTATCCTTAAGCCTGAGTCCTTCAGAGGCGTACTCTACATAAACCTCACCTCCCTCCCAAATTTTGGGACTCATTCAGGCACCACCTTAGTGCCAGACTCTCGTCTCCCGGTTGCTCCAGACACATACCCAGTAGTCTCTTCGGGCAACCTCAGCTCAACATCGGTTATCTACCTGATGGAGCACACGCCAGCTCCCACCTGGCGTGCCTGTGTTCCCTCCCTTTGGGAACCACCCGACTGCAACTCCATGACAGCCTCCTACTTCTTTGCAATGGTCTTTTTCCCACCACAGTGTTGAGCTTTCATTCGCAGTCGCTGCAACTCGGCATCAGCACTTTAGGTGCCCGCTTGACCCTGCGAGCCTTCGCTCATAACTTTTAACAACCACAACGATCACACACAACAAATAACCAACAATAAATGACAATCGCAATCACAATCGTCCCACTTCTGAAACCATTTGTGGCGGGGATCTCCCCGGGCCAAACCTAAGTTTGTTGGGACCAAGTCTGACACCTATTAAGGTGTAGCTGATCTTCCCGAACCCAAGCTTTCCCAAGACGAGAGACCACTCAGAGCAACCTCAAGGCTTAGGAAGCGGCTATGATTTGGAGGAAAAATACCACTGATTATGATGATTGAGATTACTTTCTGCTAACTGCACAATAATCCAGCAACAAATACACCTTGACAACAGGATTGTCGACACAACAAATGTGATTAGAATTTATTACACAATAATCAAGAATTATACAGTAGTGATTGAGTGATAACGAGGTTGTTAATTACCAGGGTCACTAAATTACACTTGGGAGACAACAGCTCACATAAGCAGCAACGCGAACAGCCTCAACAATGTTAAAGTATGTAGGCAATGTGCTACCTTGTTTTAAAGGGAATATACATCATTTGCTTTTGCTGTAATTTTCAGAAATGGATGGAATTGGGGGGTTGGAAATATATAGCAAATATAGTTACACTGACTTTTTTGAGGTTTTGGGTTCGAAAATGCTATAAAAACCAAGAAAAACGATCATTTTCCTGTAGTCTGGTTCCCTGACTCCATATAAGAAGAAACAGAGCAGTTTACATAAATTGGGGAATTGTAAGGTCAGGGAACCAGTCTAGGTGGCTCGTACCCGTTCATAGGTTTGTAATCGATTGCAAACAAGTGCGATGGTCAATTGGGGCCAGTATTTGAAAAAAAGCCAGTTGTTTCCAACGCTGATCGGCCGATCAGCGTTGGAAATTGATACAAAAATAGTACTTTTCTTGAAAATGACAGTATACCAGGTGCCATGATTTTACAGGATGCTTTATACTGTCATTCACTAACAGTCCAGCAAAGTATTTGAAAACGATTTGGTAGTTTTATTTTTTGATGTTTGCAAATGTTGTATTTTCCCTTTAAGTAATCGATGCCTGAAGTCGCATATACTAGAAAAATCATGTCAAAATCGATATTGATTGTTTTGTAATTTTTTTGAATAGACAAGGAATCTAAGATTCACACTATGCACTTTTGTTGGGGGAAAAATACCCACAAAAGTGGAAAAACTGAAGATGTTTTCCACTGCCGTTGGTGGCCCAATGCATGTCTTTATTTAAAAGCCGTTTTTCTCGAAATGCGGTTTTCGTGAAACTTGGCAGGACACTGTTGAAGTTCCTGCGTCATGTCTTTGAAATAAATTTAGCTACAGAAATAAATTCGGTATCATTGGAAAGTCAATGATTTACCTTTTAACATGATGTGCATAATGTGAAAGTCAAAGGTGGGGATTATTCCTTGTTATGCTACGGCAGGTCGCATAAAGAGCAGGTGGTAATGGGTTAAGACACTCTCACCTTCCCCTTGGCGTGAGGGATCCCCAGCGGGCAGTCCCGCACCCCTCCCAGCAGGGTGGCGATGGCAAAGCTGTAACCCGACACAGCCTCGGGGGAACTCTTCAGGTTGTGGAGCCTGTCGGTGCAGCGGTCCAGCAATGGCGTGAGCTGGGAGGGCAGGGCCACAGCGATGCAACGCAGGCACCAGGCTGCGGCTAGACGGGCCGCTGGGCTCGGGTGCAGGAGTACGCTGGCTACTGCGTCACACATGTCTGCAGGAAGACACAAAATGTATAGTGTAACTCTTTAAAGGCATATAGGATCATTTGCATTTATCCCAAAAGTAACCCAGCGAAGTGTTATTAAAAAGCTTGCTTGAGTTAAAGATCACACTGGTACTACACACCCTGTGAAAGTATTCTGTACGGTTTGCTGTAATTTAGAAGAAATTAAGAAATGGTGATTGCCTGTTCGTTGGAGATAAAGAGTTCTATTAACAAACTCGTGTTTCGTGATCAAAAGGTTGTGAATGCTTTCCACTGATTGGGGGAAACCAAAAAATCCACAAAAATAAACGGCAGAGGGTCTGAGGGTCACCAGAACTCCATAGCAACGAAGGGTATATGTTTGCATCCCTCAAATACCCATTTCTTTCGTTCTGTATAAACTTTTAAAGGTAAATATCACTGCTATGTACGTATACATCAGATTGGAACCAGCCAACCGATCCCGTTAGCTTGATGGTCGAGTGGTAAGACATCTGCACTATGTGAATAAATCTCTTTTGTAAGTATGTGTGGTTCTGAAAAGAACCACACATACTCACAAAAGAGATTTATTCACATGGTGCTACCGCAAACTTATCTTGTCTTAGTATCTTTCCACCATGCAAACCTTCATATCTCACATCTGCACTAGAAAGCAGGAGGTCGTGGGTTCGAGTCCCACCCGAGTGATTTTTCCAACTGTCACTCGGGAGGTAACACACCGAGTATACAGTGTTTATATATCGGTGAGGGCAAAACCTAATTTGATTTAAAAACACTTTTTGGGTAAAACCTCTGGAATTCCAGATAAAAAAAGGATTCTTTAGAATCCTGGTATCAGGCGAAATCCTCACAAAATATCCTGAAATCAGGGGAAAATATTGACAAATCTCATCCCTGATGATGTTATGGGTGCGACATGGCCTATAGACCAACCAAGACCAGGGGTGTGAGTGACCACTGATAAAAATAGCTGAAAACAGCTGAAAGGGTGTAAAAAAGCTGAACTTTGGAAATCTGCTATACTTTGATACACAGCAAGTGAGGAAAAAAAGCTGAAATCCACCACAAAAAAAGCTGAAATCAGCTTTAAAAATGAGATTTCACACCACTGCAAGACTTACTAGCATTGGGTTCGGTAACCAAACTACTGGCGCAGGTAGACAGGGACTTGACCAGACTGCCTAGCTCCTGCATGGCACATATCAAGACGTGCTGTGTGTTGGAGTTGTCGTGGGTGTGACCACCGCTGTCACTCGGCTCAGCTGTGATGAGAAAAGGAGGGATTCAAAATAAAGTCTATTTTTTCACTGACTATTTTTGAAAAGTTGAACAAAGAAATTGCCTGAACCTGCAAACTCCGGATTACCATTCCAGTGCTCTACCAACTGAGCTATTCATGCAGCCCAACCAGTATGTTGGCGATTCCCCACTTTGTCAATATCTTTGTTCAAGGGGCTCTAGTCAGAAGCCATTAACCCGTATGCTATCTTAATTAACTACACCCAACCAAAAAAGAAATTCCCCCCTTAATACTTTTTTGTCTAACTCAAAAACTACTGGGCACATCTCGCTCAAATTACGACTGATCAGTACAAAAATTCCTAAGCAATCCAGCCATACTCTTTGTTTGGCCCAAAACAGTGACAATGTGTACAAAATTATGCAATTTATGACAAATGGTACCGAAAAAAGTTGCACTTTCGTCCACGTGCAAGGTGAGTGTGAACCACAACTTGCACGTATACAAAAGTGCAAGTTCTGTTTTCAGTCTCATTTGTCATAAATAGCATAATTTCGTACACATTATCACTGTTTTGGGCCAAATAAAGAGTATGGCTGGTTTGCTAAGGAATTTCTGTACTGATCAGTCGTTATTTGAGCAAAAGGTGCTCAGTAGTTTTTGAGTTAGACAAAGAAGTATTGGAAGGGGGGGGGGGACTTTCTTTTTGGGTTGAGTGTAGTCCAGTTCCTACAGATATCATACTGCAGGTATATTATCTATCCTTTCCTGACTACTTGCAGTACAACAAAAATGCAAATCCACTCGAAGGTATTCAGAGAAACATTCCAATTAAAATCATGTACTTGCGTTAAAAAAGAGAGAATAAAAACAGATGTGTCTTTGTCGCTCAGTGAACAGTGCAACAAGACAAACCAAAACAAAAATGAAAGCCAGAAACTGTACCTTCAGTGATCAAAGTGTGCTGTGACCCTCTTCACAAAAAAAGGGTAAAGTCGCACTGTGCATTATTATGTAATGGCTCACTCAATGTTGAGAGGGTGAACATTTTGTCAAAATGTGTCAATTTGTTGTCATGAATGACATTCTTTAATACCTAAAGTTTCAGGGTTCATTCACAGAAATGTTGATTTTGATGAATAAAGTGGAAAGAAATTACCGATTTTAAGTGCATCGTTCTATTGTTCTACAACAGAGCCAGCTATTTCAACGCCTGTTTTCTCAGTTGTGTAATTTGAACTCCAAGAAAGGAATTAATATGTAAATATGTAATATCTCCAGAATGGGAGGTGCTATGGAGCTCTACTACAGTCAACCAAAAAACAAGGTCCCCCCCCTGCCAATACTTTTTTGTCTAACTAAAAAACTACTAAGCACCTCTCGCTCAAATAACGACTAATCAGTACAGAAATTCCTTAGCAATCCAGCCATACTCTTTTGGCCAAAAACAGTGATAATGTGTAAGAATTTATGCAATTTATGACAAATGATATCGAAAACAGTTGCACTTTTGTATACGTGGAAGTTGTGGTTCACACTCACCTTGCACGTATACAATACTGCAACTTGTTTTCGGTACCATTTGCCATACATGTAAATTACATAATTGTGTACACATTATCACTGTTTTGGGCCAAACAAAGAAGAATGGCTGAATTGCTAAGGAATTTTGTACTGATCAGTTGTAATTTGAGCGAGATGTGCCCAGTAGTATTGGAGTTAGACAACAAAGTATTTAGGGGGGACTTTCTTTTTGGGTTGAGTGTATATACCAAATGAAAGCTTACATTATGGGCTTTCTAAAACATAACTCAATGTCACTTATTTGCAAAATGATACTCTTTTTTGTGGAGGGGGTCACATATGTACATCTAAAATGTTTTTGAAATTGAGCTGGTTGGGTGGACTCACCGACAGAGTTCATGTAGTTGGTGATGATCCCACACAGCTGCTTGCAGCAGGAGACTTGGGCCTTCTCTCCCAGCATGTCCCCCAGGGTGGAGCGCAGGATGAAGGTGACGCAGCGGCGGAGATAGACGGCATCCACGTGGGTAGGGGTGGAGCGGGGGTTGGCCACGATGTCAAAGACCCTCTCCAGGAACAGCTGGAGGTTGCGCTCCAGCCAGAGACCGCCCAGGGTCCGGACCAAGACCACGTAGGCCTGCAAGATGATAGGGTGACGATTTTGATGATGATTTACATGTAGGTTATAGATTCAGTCAGTGAGATCTAGGATCTATTTGGGTCTTCAAAACCTTTGCTTTGTCTCAAGTTTCGAATTGATCATCAGCTTTAGAATAATTCAGAAGACTTCAATATCCCTAACCCCCAGGGTATTTTGGCTAGAAACCTTGCTTAACGCAGCAACATGCAAAATGTCAAAATGAAAAGGCTGCTCAGTGTAGCAAGATCCATCAGGTCAGACATCTGACGGCCAAACTGCCTCAGAGTTCGTGGTCACCAACTGCAGCAGATACAACTGTGGCATTAATCGATGGGACTAGCTCTCACTGTTTCACAATTGGCTGTTTACGCACTGGTGTCGATGGCTCAATGCAGCACGGTCCCGCAGACTTTTGCATGTACACCTGATGCACTGTGTTGCATCTGGCAGGGTCAAAACTTCAGCCTGATATTGTAAGATTAGATGTTCCTGATGAACCAGAACACGGACCCATACTGAGCCGGAGTCCCCAACATGCCCCACAGTCAGGAGCGTTAAATCTCCTCAAGCCAAAGCCAGAGAGATGCAGCGAAACTTTTGAAAATTGAAAATATTTGTCCATCCAAAACAGTTGCACTATTAAGTCAAATTTGGTACCGTAAGTGCATCATGACAGCTCATAATTGATTGTGTTTGTTAATTTTGAACGAGCAATTTTTGGCTTAAAGGCATATACATGTAGGTTGTTTTGCTTTTTTATCTCAAAAGTAACCTACACAATTAGACTAAAATTTTTTACTTGGATTAAAGATTGTACTTGTATTAAACACCCCGTGGATTATTTGGTCTGGCTTGCTGTCATTTATAGGGAAAAAATGAAGAAATGTTGGTGATTTCCAACGATCAATCGATTGACAGATTTTTGGAAATGAAGAGGGCTATGGACAAACTTGTGTCTGGTGATCAAAAGGTTGTGCATGGTTTTTCATTGTTCTCTAGAAAAGTGCAATATCCACTGAGCTGAAACTTCAACCCACTGCAATCAATAAATGAACACGTCATGAGTGACTATACTCACATGAGTGAATCCGACCCGGACCTCCCTGTTGATCATCCCGCCCCCTTTCTGCTCTCCTCCGCCCGCTTTGAGGAAGCCGGACGTCCCCTTGATGAAGCCCACCGACAGGAGATTGTAGACATCGTCGATGCTGGAGCGCTTGGCTCTAGGGTCTGTCAACACAACAAGCATCTTTTATAAACATTGATATGTAACATGATACGGCGGTCGGGATATGATGTATATCTTGATTAGTTTGTGAACTTAAGTTCTGGAGGTGTTTGACATCTGTATATATTGTCTCCAGAGACAGCAGTGTCAACACCATGCTGAGTAAACTGGGTTGGGAGTCTCTACAACACCGAAGAGCCATCTCCAAAGTCACAATGATGTAACGGATCACCAACAAACTCATCGACATCCCAGACAACCACCTTATCCCGGTCAACTCATCTACCAGAGGCAACAGCCATGCAGAAACTCCTCATCCCACCCACCCGTACAACCTTACTGAAGGGCTCCTTCTTCCCAGACACCATCCGCCTGTGGAACTCACTGCCCCAGCAAGTTGTTGAGTCACCAACCCAGGATATCTTCAAGACCAGAGTGAACGGTGTCACCTTCAGATAACCAACCTGTCCCAAAATAGCTGTTTTTACTTGCACATATTTGTCTTTTTATGCCTCGAGTTATGTCTGCACCTGCTTGTTTGCACTTCAACCAATGTGCGAGTATACTCCAGCGGAGGTTTCTGCACAGTATAGAAAGATGATGATGATGATGTATTGACTCAAAAGTACATGGGTCACTCCATATACATGTATTTAGGGTCCAAACTGTGACATTTTTCCTGTGCCTGTTACCTTTGTAATTTGCCATTCAGTTATCATAAAGAATGACTTCAATTTCTTTCTTTTTTAGGTAGGTAGTTTACTATTCATAATCACTCTTGGAGGGCAACTGCATTAAGGAGTGCATCAGATAAAATCACATATCAGATGAAACACCAACAGGGAGTCGGGGACAGGGAAAAAAGTGGACCTCACATTTATAGAATGAGCCACAAGTATTCAACATGCAGTGACTGTGTGTTCAAATACAATTTTCAGACATTTGCAACTCTGTAGAACTTCTTACATCTACTTTACCATCTTTCATTTGGGAAGAAACTTTTTAAATGATTTATGCGCTGTTCATACATGTTATCAACCATTCCAACTTCTGGTGCCTGAACGTATTTCTGTTGTCAAAATTATTCAAAGCCTAGTATCTTAATTCCTGATTTACGTATCACGATGCCTATCACAGTAATCTTGTATTAAGATTATCAGTAAAATGTATTTATGCATTTTCACACCCAATGTGCACAGTTCTTAAACCGGACATTAGACACCAAGATCTGACGATAAACGTAAGACCATGATTTTCCAAAAATGCAACTCGTTAAGCTCTCATTTATAGAAATCCTTGCAATACCAGGATTCGAATAAGCCCATCTAAACTATGAAGAAATGTAAGAATCCAAAACAAGAAAAGGCGACTATTTTCCTGTCCCACCTTTCGAAATGTTGGTCTGAGTTGTGGCCAGCAGAACTCCAAGAAGCTTGGACACTGCACTGCGGACGTCATAGTTGGAGCCATCCAGTGCACGGAAGCACGTCGAGACCATGTTCTCCAGCTCTGTTGTGTGCAGAAAGTTGCCTTCTTTCACCAACTCCAGCATGCACTGAAGGGAGAAATCAAACACTTGCCTCAACATTTTAACTTGAGTTATCATTGCAGAATTTCTAAATAGCTTTGCCAGACAGCGAGTAATTGCTTAAAATGGCGCTGATCCATTGTACAAAGCATACATGCTTCCTCGGACAGCGCAATCTTCACTAAATGGAGTAGCCATAGGTTAGCGAAGGATTTGGCTTCAACACTTGAACACCAGGGCCCAATTTCACGACGCTGCTAAGCACAAAAATTGCTTAGCACAAAAGAAGTCTGGCTTATAAAAGCAGGTTACCAGCCAAAACTCCAAGTGATGTATACTGCTCGTGATTAATATTCACCTGTTGTTTGCTTTTTTTTTTAATAGCATGAAAATCACAACGATTTTTGGCTGGTAACCTGCTTTTATAAGCCCAAATTTTTTTGTGCTAAGCAAATTTTTGTGCTTAGCGCCGTGAAATTGGGTCCACGGCCTGATGTCTTTGCATTGCTTATCGCAGCAATTTTAACCTACGGTTTGCATATGGTAAGCATGTTTCATAGGTTAGGAAGGTACATGTATATGGACTCCATGCGCAAACAAGAGAGGTCACTTTTTGACCACTTTCGAGAGCCCCGTGGACGGGATATACATTGTACCGCGTGTGCATACTGGTTTGCCTGTATATAGTGCGAAGCACGCACAACTCATTTAATTCTGAATGTGCACAAAGCCATAGCATCTTTACGTGAGCGTCAGGCGATGTTGGCAATGCATGGGAATGTCTTTCCCAGTGGTCTACCCAATTTTCCCCTTTCTTACCATTGAGGGGGTACTTGTGCGCGGAGTCCATTGGCTAATCACATTTATACATCCCACTACTAACGATCTTTGTAAAAGGGTAAGTTTGGGTGCTGACCTTTGGTCAATTTGCGATTTAAATCACGCATGCGTAGTCTGTTTTTCACTCAAACGCGTCTAGTCGATCCACTAGTCAAATCTGGTTAGTGTGTGACAACAACAGGCCTTCACGTTGTTAATGAAGCAAATTTTGGCACATATTTTAAATTTTTAAAATTATTTTCTCTACTTAACTTTAGCGCAATAAATAATTAATTATCTTATTGTAAAGATTTATTTTTATGTTAAACTATACTCATACGTTTTTAACATTAACTGTGATAACAAAAGTTTGCAAAACTTGCCCCAGTATACCTTTCTGCCAACTTGAAACAGTGATGTTACTCACAAATTTGTCTAGAGAAACGGTGCTCTGGGACTAGGCTGATCCAGCTGGACTAGCTAGTTAAACCATGCAGCGACATCTAGATCGACTATGGTTAAGTCTAGTCAACCCTAGTCACCCAACCAAACTTGCTCAAATTTGGCCCTGGTCTATGCAACGATACAACCAATCCATTAAGTGTGCGTTTATGAGAAGACCATGCAAAATCCTGAAAAATCGACAAGGTGGGGGGTCAGCGAATTAAGTTCAAATCTTGGCCATTTGATCCCCACCTGAGACGATACCACTCGGTGGAGTAGCTCGATAAATAATCACACGGTGGCCGAGTACGGGGCACCAACAATTTTGAGCAAAAAGGGTGACTTCCGGGGAGTAAATTTGTGTTGTTTCTGGTGTAAAGTTATAGCCTCGTTTATACCCTTAAACTAAATCGTTTACTGTCGACCTACATATCAAAAGAAAGGGTTTAATCTCCTCTAAACGATGAAATATAAATCTTTGATATGCAAGCATTTACTGCGGAGATATAGGCGTAAGAAAAACACGTATCAGCTCTATTACGAAATGAAGTCCTTTACGCGGTAAACCATAACTTAATTAATGCAGGGCTGAGAGTCAACAAACTTGGAGGAAATATAGTTCAGATATCCGACTACAATAATAAAAAATAAAAAAACTGTCAGCTCTTCTTATTTTTGTTTGCTCACGGTCAACAAAGTTGAAAAATTCCTAATTTTCAAGACCAAACCTACATAGCCCCCTAGACAGTTCCGAGTGCAATTGGTTGCCCTTAATTGACATTTTGCAGGAATTGTTGTAAGAGCATAACAAAATGTACATTTTGCAGACTTCACCTATTGGGTGGGTGGGTGAGTGGGCTACCTTTGGTGGTGCGCACTGATCCGGTAGGAGGGGAACGTCCTGTTGCCGCCCACCCAGTTAGCGCGCGGTATCGAAAGAGGGCGCCCTCGCATTACATTACCGTCAAAATGGCAGCCATGGACATGCCGTCTGTACGGCTGCAATGTGATTTTATTAATTTTGAGTATAGCAAAGCCATCGAATGTGGTGCAAATCCCTCTTATCTGCGCGAACTAAATACAGTGCAACTTAATCGATGCACAAAAGACATACGGAGCCATTTGCAGAAGTGGAAAGTCGCTGCATATGATGTGAATGTCGAGTGGAAACTGATCCTCCTGCGATGTGGTTTGTTCGACGTCGATGCATACACTGATAAGACAATACGTCCAGCGCATAGATACAAGTTAGGGTTGAGTTGGACATCATCAAGGAAATGTTGTCATCCACTCCATAAAGGGAAAGGCAAACCATTCCGTGGTGTGAATAAAGCAACTAGCCGTGAGATCATAGATGTTTGATCGATGGGGTACCATGATCACTGTTGGAACAGGTAAGAAGACAGAAATCAAACAAAAATACATTTTTGAAAATTGAAATGAATTAATCATGGTCAAGGTCCATTTCTGATCAACTGACTTTGTTCCTGGGTAGGTTATATCAATTAAATCCAGTATCATGCAGTTGACTTGGGACCAGTGAAATTTTGTGTGAAATATTGTGTGAAATATTGTGTGAAAAATTAATACTGGTTGTCACAGCTCTGGACCACACACATGGTTTTCGGCAGTGGACACACATGGTGGATATTTAGCCGGAGCTGGATTTTGAATTATTTTTTTTTATATAAAGAAAGTTGGAACTGCACTGAACATGGCGCAGTTTGGGGAATAAAACATATTTTTTTTTTTTGCACTTACATTGTTTTTTTTAACTTTTATTCACGAGATGTGACTCATCAGACCATTTACAACTTAAAGAACAATTTCAGATTTGTTTCCCCTTTTATACAAATCCTCCAGAGCCAGCCACATCAGAAAAAGAAAAAGTAATAAGTGCAATTAAATACAGGCAATATAAAATAATAAAAGAAGATTTCTTATTTTTTATTTATTTATTATTTTTTTTTGGGGGGGGGGGGGAATTTATGACATGGGTTTTGTTCAAGGCATCTATTGCTCAATATTGTTGGCTACATACGCCCCGCTTTATATCTTTTACTTTAAAAAAATATTAAGCCTGCTGCGGCCTTAACACTTTGTTAATTCTCACTGTTCATATAACTTTCAGGTATCTGTAGAGGTTGTCTATCTTGGCACAAACAAGCAGTTACGCACCAGACAGCGGAACAATTACCATCTAGCGATGTGCTCTCTAAGGAACAAGAAGAGCAGCAGTGTACAATCAGTGATTTCACATCACCGGCTGGTGTACCATCTCTCCAACCCACCGACACAGAGTGCACTTCAGTTCATGAGGTAAAGAGAGTGAACTAAGAATGGACCTTGACATATTGCACCTCATTTATCACAGATGAATTGTAAGCACTCTTTTTTGAGTACATCAATTTGTATTTCAACCCTATATGTAGCATGCATCTCACTGTTTTTATTTTCTCATGATTATTTCTAGCATACATCTGAGTCCTCATCAACTGATGGAGATATTACACAGGATGTAGGTGCACTTGACTCTTCTTGGGCTCCAACCCCCCGACCAAAGAATGTGGAGCTGCAATCCCTGAACACTTTCCTTACTCAGGGGGGAATGTCTGCTGTTGATGGGCAGCTTCATCTGTCATTAGAATAAGCATCTGAGACTGATAGCACCATCCATTATTATAGAAGGAAGGCAAAGGAAGCCTTTGGTTTAGTTCTTCATTGTTTAGCACCAGGTCAAGAAGATGGGCTCATGAAGATTACAATCGGTGAAACAACTGCTGAATCATCACAAAGTGGTCAAAATTTTGATAGTAGTGCCCGTTTTCATTTTTTTTATTGCATCCTTTTTTACCAACATTTTTGCATTAGTGGTTCCATGTTCTCTTCCTTTACGTATTTTGTGTTTAAACAAAGGGTTATCATGGTTTGTTATTGGAAGACAGTGACTGTTCTTGTTTTTTAATGTTAATTTAAGAAGGAAAACAATTTCTTGATTTATATTTAATTGTTTTTTCGAGTTTGATCGTTAGGTTGTTCCATGTGTCATTCTATTTGATACTGTGTTGGTTCAGTTTTCTTCTTTCAACTTCCATTTAAGTTTAAAGTTCAATTTAGTTTTGTACAGTTGACTCTCGTTATAGCAAGGTCGGTGAGACTGCCCAAACTACCTCTTTAAACAGAAATGTTGCTTTAAAAGGACAGCGGAACGAAGAGACACAAAGAGAACTAGGGATACGAGACCTCAGAATGTGCTCTATATAAGCAGCAGTAGAACATCTTTGTAAAAGTGTTCTTTATAACAAAAGTCGACTGTAGTACTACCATTTTACTTATTTGGTGGGGTGGATAACAGGTTTAAGGTTTGGATAAAAGTTAATTTGGATCCTTTTTGATTATTGGTTTTTTGAAAGTTTTTTTTCAAATTTTGGTTGGTAAAATAAATCAATTTTTTTTGGTCTTTCTAAAAATTTGTTTGTCATTGTTTCTATTTATTCAAATTCCTTTCTACTTGTTCCTACCCCATCTAGGTGTATCTCATTTTTGACAACGAGTACCCCAACATTTAGCGTTTTTCTCATTCAATTTATTATTTTCCAAGTTTATTAATTTTCCGGGTTACATTAACATGCCAAAAAATAACAGAATTGTCATCCAAGCCTCATCATTCCCACATTTGGTGCGCGATATGTGGCAGGGTGTAACCCCCCCACCCCCATTGTGTCTTCATTGTGTTCTGGTAATCTCAGGAATTCTTTAGATGAATATTGGGGGATACTTTTGTTAACAAAAAGACAAGTGTGTGTTGAGTATTGGAACATTTGTGGGGACTCCCTCTGCCACAAATCGGGCAGGGTATACATTCCATCCTGGACTCTGAAAGGTGGCGGCCATATTGATTTAAAGTGAACCCCCCTACCCTAAAAATGGGATAAATTAAGGAATTATAGCACCCCTTATGGCGTCTCCAGTATTAAAATATGCCAAAAAAAGCCCTCTGTTAAAGATTTTTAAAAACATTTTTGACGTCATTATTTACAAATTGGAAATTTAAAACTTGGTAGCAAATTTCATGAAAATTGGTTGTCGACTTTTGAAAATACAGAAAAGGGGGGGGCTGTATGTCCCTCCCCCGTCCCTTTACTAGCGAAAAATAGGGGTAAAACAGACTCCTGCCAATTTATACTAAAAACTGCTGACAATGTTTTTATTCTTGATACTTAAGGACCATGATAAGAACTCTCTTTCACCTGAGTGTCATTGTTCAAAGACCTGCACTAATGACGCTACGGCGACTTAAAGATTGCTATTTCTATGACTCAACTTTGGGGGTACCCTTAGTGCCGTTGCCTCCTGAGAGCAATTTTTTTCTAAATTTTGAGTACCTGGTTTTAGGTCAGGATACAACCTCAGCACCCTGCAAATTTCATTTCTCTGCTGCTTTCCCCTGTTGAGCAGCAAGCGTTTAAACGTTTGTACCCCAAAATCATAAAAATCTCCATTTTTCACTAATAAAAACACATTTTTGGCTCTTTTTTCTGCTACGGAGGTCAGATTGACCAAATATTTTGTACAACCTCAAGGCTACCTATGACCCACCTACCCCCCAAATTTTAACCAAATCCGCCGACCCCCACCTTGTCACGGTCTGCATGGTCCTCTCGTGGACATACTCTTAAGCCCTGATATGCGTTCACTTGCATATGACACGTGCAACTGGGATGTGTAACATGTCATTGAAGAGGCGCCATGTTGTTGCCCACACTCTATGTTTTTGACTTCACTCTTACTCTGTGGAAGCCGATCGCAAATTGACAAAACCACTTAAAAAATTTGGCATCGCCCACCTTGGCAGCAGCACACCGGACTGCCATGCTCCTGTCCTGCAGGGCGTTGCGGACAGCCTTGTAGATATCTCGATGGTAGGATTGAGCCGCTGAGCCCAGGCCCTTCACGATCCTCTGCAGGCACAGCATGATCTCACAACGGCCTGTTGACTGTATATTGAATTTAAAAAAAAATGATCAGTGTGGTTTTGCAGCCAAGTATCCCTCAATACAAGAATTCCTTAATAGAGAATGATTAGAGCACACTTGAGTATTATCGCATCCATGCCCCAGTGGTATGAATGAGGTCCCATGCACCCCCTTAACCCAGCAGTGTGCCACAGTACTGAAATTATCAGTACATCTTTAAATAATGTTTAATTACTCCATCATTTTTTTGTCAAACATTTCATACTCCACAAGTTTCCTATTAAGACACAGCTAAAAAGCATCGCGAGTACCCCTTTAACACTGGTTGAACTTTTCACCCAGAATTTCCGAGGCAAAGATCAGAACCAAACCAACTCCCATATGATTTTTATTGTCCAGCTCTCTTCACATGATGCCAACAAATCTAGCAAGGTTTGAGAAATAGTTTTCGAGTGGGGATTATTTACTTTAACATTACAAGCTTGGCATCATTTACATGCTGTTGGAGGTCCGGACCTCCACCAAAATCTCTCAAGGAAATTCACCAGGGAGGTAATATTTTTTGGTCATTTTCTAGCATGGGTGTCCCCTTCACACTATTGCATTTTTGTATTAAAGATATCTCAAGCATGAGAAAAGTTCTCAAGCACTGTAAGGTTTTTTGGTCTTGTATAAAGAGGGCTTTCATTGGGCCGCTGTCCTGCGCACAGCAAAAACAACGATTTGGCAGTCCACACTAGATCAAATGAAATGGATGTCTTGATGACCTCAGCTGGATAAGGATGTGAAAAGGCTGTCCAATTTGAAAGTCTGGAGTGTAAAACCTCTTTGATTTTAGACGCCACTAGTACAAAATGCAGCCATCTCTGGAAACTAACGTTAAAGTTCATTGACTCTGCGCACAAAATGTGTGCTGGAGATGGTGAGGTGATATATATTATATTGAATGTCACTGCGCATTGTTTCAATTACGTCTTACAAAGGTAATTGATTCCGTTATCAAAGAGTTAAACTGATCGGAACAACAAAATCTGTCTTCTTACCTCGGCATTTTTTAATGCTTTCACAAGGCCTTGAATGGTTTCTGGAAAACTACTTCCCATCATGCGACCAAGTTTCTCGTACATTGCGCCAAGAACAGCAACTGCAGCCCTAGCACAAAGAAAAGAAAACAAAAGGAAAAAAAGTCATGACCCTTTTGACCAACGACTTGGATCATTATTGAAAATAGGAGTGAAACAAAACTGAAGAGGCATTCATTTCGATGAATTTCGAGAAGGTTTTTCTCTTTCATTTTGACCACTTTTTCTGGAACAGTCTGAAAAACGTAAGCATTATCACCTACAGTAACTGGCTGACTGATGACAACTTTGAAAGTTGTCAGAATATTTTTTTTTCCTTACTTGTTAACTCAACTGAAAACTAGAGCACATACAGGTATACAACTGAAACCCTGGCACCAATGCAAAAACATGGTTAGCCCTTTCACTTATCATATCATCAAATATAATGTTTCACTCTTTAAAGCCCCCCAGTGTTTGGAAGATCCACACATCACCAGGTACATGCTTTTAATTCTTATTCATAAATACCTCAGACAGTTTATTCCTATTGGTCGAGAGCCCGTCACGTGGCCGGTCTTAAACGGATGATAAAGACATGGCTAGCTGGTTTTAAACACTTTTCCAGTGTCACATAAAATGTGGACTCCTAAAAATCCAGTGCCTCTTACCGTTTTATTGGTTGAACGTTCACAATCCTCACGTAAGCATGCGCAACACTACCATGACTACCAGCGAGTCAGAATTTTATAGTTCTAAATTCAAAACGCAACGCCCCAGGTGCGTTCTGCGCGACATCGCGCAGAACATGCTACGCGGGCGTCAATCTCCATAAAAGGGTTGTTTACATCTTACTCGCCAGCTGAACACTCCATTATTTTGCTAGAGGGATGTTTCAAAAAGCATGAAGTGAATTTGTTGAACAAAATCGGGACTTTTTTTAACGAATTATTTGATTTATTTTACCGAAAAGGTATTTATGAATGGGAATAAATATGTGCTCCGTCGGTATTTATCACTCTGTTTAAGACCGCTTAGAGTCTGGGTGCTGATAATTACCCGAGCCGGAGGCTCGGGTAATTATCAGCACCCAGACTCTAAGCGGTCTTAAACAGAGTGATAAAAACCTCCGGAGCACACATTTATTCCCTTAGTAATGCAAATTTTGAAGGGTTTGAAGTGTAAAAGAGTAGGATGCCTAATCCAATGAAGAAACACGTCCAAAATTCCTATTCATTTATGTCTGTATCACTTGAGATGTGGAAGAAAAGAGGCACTACAAATGTACACAGCACTTACAATCTCGACGGCAGAAAGCTGGGCGAATCGTCCTTGTTTCTGATGATGTCATTGCAGAAGTTGGAGGTTTCCAGCAGGTCATAGGAATCGCCGACGCTGTAGACGGTCCCGATGCATTTGCCGAGTAGCGCCCTCGTTGGGGGTCCGGGAGACTCTGTGATCTGACTGGTTAGCTGGGCGACCAACTTCTTCTGGGAGCCTTTCAAGTCAGACTTTGGAAGAACAATAAAAAAAATGAATGTTGAAATCCACTTTCTCTGAATCAAATAGATGAACAACAGTCCATATTTTCTGATTGACAAAATCCAGCAGAAATTAAGCACATTCAGGTGAAATAAAGTCAAGCATGCTTTTCATACGCGCACTTGCCATATGCTTACTACATTTTGTGCACAATTGCCATATATGCATGCTCGTGTACATGTAGTTTACAAAACTGTAGACACTACCCATGAACTTGCGCACATTCAGATGAAAATGTGTACCATTATCACGGAACTGCTGCACAGGAAATGTTGATTAGCACATCTGCATGCTCAGTCAAAATCAGAGTTGTAACGAGTCACTGATTTTTGTGACTCGAGTCAGGTCGAGTCATTTGCTCGCAGCGACTCGAGTCGAGTCATTAGGTCAAGAAGGTCGAGTCGAGTCACAGTGTGTTGTCGAGTCGAGTCAAATATTAAGCTCGAGTCAATTGGAGTCATGAAAATTTGAACACTATACAACAAATAAAGACAAGAGAAAAAGTCATTTGTATCATTAACCGTTCACAAGAAGTGAAACTTTGGTCTTATATTGGCTATCTGCTTTGGCTTCGGGTCTAGAATTGTTTTCCTTTGATAAAAGGTCATGACCCACAAATCATGAAATCCAGGATTTTTTACATTTATTTTCGAGGTTTTAGGAGCCAGCTGCAATATTTTTTGCAAAGTTTTGCTTTTATTTTTGGGACTCGAGTCTTATTAGCCTTCGCTCGAGTCGAGTCGAGTCTTCTGATGAGGGACTCGAGTCGAGTCAAGTCATTTGCTCGCAGTGAGTCGAGTCGAGTCATTTACCCATAGGGACTCGAGTTGAGTCCAGTCACCAAAAATTGTGACTCCAGTCGGACTTGAGTTGAGTCATTGACTCGAGTCATTACAACTCTGGTAAAAATCAGCTGAAAACCAGTCACAAGTAATGTCAGTCATGTCGGTAGCTTCAAGTGTGAGTGGCCCTGCACAGCGCCACCTACATGTATGGCCCCTAACTAAAGTCCCAGCTCTCACCTTCTGTGCAGCCACCAAGACTTTATCCAGGAAGCGCAGCCACTCATAGATGAAGATGGGTCGCTTGGACTCGGCTATCTGGGCCAGGGCCTGCTCATTGAGCAGTAAGCTATGAGATAACTCCATCACTGCCTCCTCGTCAGAACCATAACCCGATTGGTCTTTGTTGTCCTCGTCGGTGCTGTGTGTACTACCCAGTGTGAATTCTGCAAAAGAGAAAACAGGAATGATAATAATATTGGCACAAAGATCACGACATCGTCAAAGTTTGTTAATTAAAGCCTTCATACATAATGAGAAACATCTACATGTATGCGGTCCGCGTGGACAAGTACCCCCTCAACGGCATAAGAAAGGGAGGGTTGGGAGAGACACCTGATCACACAATGATGCCTGAAGCTCACACGAAGGCTTTGTTCACATTCAGAATCAAGTTAGTCATGCGTACCGGTACAAGCTTCTCGCTATACGCACACAAACGTGTGTTCACCGTAGACTGTGGACGTCATATTGTCCCTCTTTGTTTGAACTCTAACTTTTTAGGAAGACTCCCATAGGTTTTGTACACGACCCCAATTGCGGGATGTATGCTGGGAATCATGGACGATATTGTTCTCTTTTGTTTTCTGGTATTTTTCGTCCACGGTTTAAAAAGATGAACACGTACACACCCTCCAGTAAGCACTAACGGTGTTCCGTCCACAGGGCTCTCCAAAGTGGTCAAAAAGCATTCTCTGTTGTTCTCTATGGTTACGGAGCCCATACAATAGGTGAGGCAAGAGTGACGTCTTGATTCCCAGAAACCAAAGACAAAGACTGTGCTAAAGTTCAAATTGCTTTCCTGTCATAAAATGCTCCGTATCTGTCTACATAGTACATGTACTACACATACATGTACACATAACCCTATGAGATGACAAATTTACATGCACATTTCACACTATGTTGTACATCACGTGTATTCGAAAAACACATAGGCGTACATGTTACATACATGTATGCACTGTAACAAATAAATGGCTCTAGCCTACACAGGCAGTACAATAATAGAATGACAGTACTTACGTACATGTGTGCGTACACATTCAAGTTCATGTACATGTACACGTATGATACATGTATAAATACAACAGGACTGTCAAAATCATGCACACTTGGGTAGAAAGTCAGAATCAAGTTTGTACTATCAAATTAGACACCTAGCTTTTACAGACCACATTTCTTTATGGTATGTAACGTACATGTAAATGTGTGAACGGGTGTGTGTTTCTGTGTAAATGTATGTACATGTACATGTAGGACACGAAGGACATTGCATACATTTGTGCTTACATGTATGTTAAACATTTCATGGTCATGCAGCATGTGCACCTGTTCAAATAAAATTCCACCAGCAAGCAAGAAACATTGAATTCAGGATCCAGCAGCCCCGTTGAATACATTGTACCTATTGAAAAATGCCAGACACCGACATCAAACTACACAACAAATGATCAGCATGATCACAAGAGACCAGCTACAAGGTAGGACATGTACCCGGTAGGATGAAACAACACGCTCCTTCAAGTGCTCCACACCCCCCTTGAGATGCGCGCGTACATGCGCATGTACAACTGTATGTCCCATCAATGCGCAGTACACGCAGCTGCCCCGTGGCATGTTTAGACGGCAAGTTTGTCCGTGGGGTTTTTGGGACATCAATACGGCATCGTGACTGTGCCTGCTGAGGGTGCATATCTAAACAGCTTATCTCAAGAGCAATCGTCTGGGAGCGTCGAGTCCTTGTTCATTTCCCAATTCTCAAAAACTCTTAGCTCTTTGTTTTTCATCGCACAAACACGAAAAGTTGTCAACGTTTTAACTTTCTCCAAAAAATGAGGAGTTATAGAGTGTAAAGTACAATTTTCTATACTTTAAGGTACACATACAGTACATGTACTTGTACATACCTCATAATGATCTTCTTTGCCTTCGAAAGTAAGGTACATGTACATGTACATGTACATGTACCATTACATGTATACATAGTTTCAAAAGCACAGTCATGCCAAAAACAGCATCCCCAAATGATATCATGCACACCAATGATCCATTGGGCCCACATTGACATCACATGGCAGCACTTGAATGTACATACAGTACATGTATGTACCAGTACCTTCATACATTGTAAATCTATTTTTATACATTTGTTTTTTGTGTATTTTATGTGTTCACAATTAAATTTTGGTGCTTTAGGAGGAGTGAAGCACACTTACATGTACCTGTATGTACATGTACCACAAAGCAAGAATGCATGTGGACAAATTTATGTTTCCCACAGATTTTGCATGCAGAAAGTACATCAACCTTAAAACGTGCATTGTCAGCATGGTTATTACTTGGGTCAATATTGGTCAAGACCCCCATTGGTTTGCACACAATATGCCAGGAGGTGAGATACAAACATTTTGACCATTGGTGGCCTCTTAAATAGAGGGAAGGTTTTAATTGTGTGATTTACATGTTCAGTATTTGATAATAAATGACCATTAATTTGATCAACTACAAACTTGTACATGTACATGTATGTATCAGCAAATCAGCATCAGCATATCCATATCAGCAAATGTACATGTACATGTACCGGGGTACATGTAGTACATGTAAACAGCAATAACAATAAATATAAATAAAAAAAAGTGCATCAATTATTTCTGGATTTTGCAAACTGTTAATAAATTACAGTTGTACAAGGTCAATACACATAAATACCGGTACAGGTCCATTGTACAGATAGAATTAATAATTATCATATCCAATAAATTAACTTGCAGAACTCTGTATTAAGGATGTGACATTTACACGTTTAAACGTTATTTATTTTTTACTGAATTTGTGTAAATTTACCAAAAAGTCCTAAGGAAACCTGCATTTGCTAACATTGTAATAAAAATGGTGAATTTTGAACTTCCAAGACAATCAAAATCAAAGTAAAACCATGCTCTACATGTATTGAAGGATTTGCAGCAGGATACAGAAATGACCAAAATATTGAAGCATACAATGTACAAACCTGTAGTTAGTACGTGTATGGGAACGCCTTTCTCTGCAATGTGCGTATGTACTCAATGCGTGACATTCACCACAAGCAGTTTACTATAAACATGCTCAGATGAAAATTTATGGAATTTCACAACAATGTGGGATGTATACATTTCGTCTTGATGAATGTCAGAAATGTACTGTATCAACGACGCTATTTCAGTCTTGGAAATGCACAACATGTGGACGCAATATGTGAAAATTTACAAAGGGAAATCCATACCTCTTGCATGCTGCAGTAAAAAAAAAAACAGTTTGGTATTTCAACTGCGCAATGCATCTAAACAGAGTTCATTCACAAAACTATTCGGGTAACGGTAACCAAATGTGCAATTTTAGAAAATTTTTCATTTAATCATCCCTTACTCTCTGAGGGTAGTTTACTGCATGTCAGTTGGTTATGCCAATGCCCTCCAGCTGCAGTATATTGGCAGATAAACTATCTTGACAGTGAAGGCTCCAATTGGCAGGAGTTGGAGGCCCTGGAGGGTGCCTGATACTGACCAGCTGGGGGCACTCACTTTGTTATCAGAGGACTCTCATTGTTCTCTGTGGCATGTATTGGAGTGCCTGTCCAGTTACCCTTGAAATGACATGGCAGATATTGGAGGGCCATGCAAAAAACATAGGAGATTTTCTTGAGGCACATATTGGCATGCGTTGGAGGGTCAAGTAGGGTAAGGGTTAAAGGCAATAAAACATGTACACGTACTGTACCTTGACACTTGATGAAGTTTATTATGTGTCTGCTTTCTTTGACATTTTCATATTGGTGTAAAATGTTTTGTGTCACGACACAAAACATAAATGTGTGAGTAAAATACATTTTAAAATGTCAAATACCCTTTAGTTTAATACAACATTGTATACAAGCGGAAATTTGGTTTGCAAATGTAGGCCTATCGTATTTTAAAGATTTATGGAAAATGTTATGTGAATGTTTTGGGAGTTTCATATATTGATTTTTTTAGAACGTATCCATAGAACAGCCAGCAATTACAGGGTACCGGTTCATGTACATGTAGCACCCTGTGACAAATCTCTTTTATGAGTTTGTGAGGTTTTGAAAAGAACTGGGGGAAAAACTAAACGTTTCGGACCGTAGCCCTATACTCTGCCTGTCTCCACGAGACTGATTACAATGTACACATTAAAAAAAATACTTAAGTATTAAAATTAAATGGAAATTAAAAGAACGAACAAACTTTTTGCTGACCAAGTCCACACCTACATGTACATGTACATGTACCAGCATAGACCGTTACTTAGATGTAAGTTGAATCCTCATCAATTACGTGTTATTACCAAGGCCAGTATCATTGTAATCACTGTCACTGCACCTGGGCCATGGATTAAATTGCTTGAGCAGTTACACCATAACAAGAACAAGTATTTAACGTCTGTGTAAAAACATTGCAATTGACAGTACATAAATAAAATAATGTTTTTAATATTTCTTTTTTTAATTCACTTTTTTTTCTGAGCAAAATGTTATCATAAAGTAATTTATGCATTTATTTTATATTTTTTATTTCTATTCTATGTGTAACCTATTCAAGTTAGGATCGGCAGGCTTTCGAGACAAAGTGTTTTACTACACTTTTGTCAGTCCTGGCCAACTTTGATAGGGTTGTTTTTGTCTCTAATTTTAGTGTATTTTGGAAAGTTATGTTGGTCATGTACATGTACATGTATGTTGTACTTTGTACCTGTTGTAGAAGGCCGAATAAATAATAATAATAATAATAATAAAATTTACCTGCTAGTGCCAATGACAAACTATTTAAAGGTACTAATGCACATAGCTCCTTACATGTATGGATTACGAATATTTAAAATTTGCTTTGATTTTGATCACAAGTTGATTTGCTTAAATTATATAAAAAACTAAAAAAAATTAAAAGCTGTATGAAAAACAGAAATCAATAGAAAAATGTCAAAGTTAGAAAATATCAAAAATACATTACACCAGTACGCATGCGTGCATAAACATTTACAAAAACAAGGCAGAAAGGAAAAGAGAACATAATTCAGTGACGTACATCATGTACATTTTCAATTCAGTTAAAAGGCGCTACAGTACACAGCAGTGCTGTTAAGGCTGTTGGCACACCATGTGTGG